AACGAACAAAACCGCGTCTAGGCCATCATATCTAGTTTTATCATCCATATTTTGATGTTTTGTTTCTCTGGAGAGGGAGTAATGCTGTACAAAGGGCATAGGAAAATGGCTGGCACATATTAGTATAGATATAACTCATAAAATTATAGGATTTATTCGTGTCATACAGAGAGTGATTTTGGGTGTGGCTATCACGAGTTTTATTATTTGTTTGACTATGGCTTCTCTTCAGCCTAAGTATCTGTGTGGCTATTCACACCCACACCCCCCAAGCCTCTTAGTGGCTTCGGGCTTGGGTTTGGAGACCAGCGTCTCTTCCGAGTTCCTACTGCTACGATGGTATTAATGGCAGTTTGACACCATCTTAGTATAAAATGGCTCTGCTAATGGAATCCTTGGCTTGTGTTTGGTCTCCCGCCTCTTCTAGAGTAAGCTGCGACTTGTAAACTTATTCATGCCCTATGATTCCATAACATTGAGCCAATACAGTTAAAGTGATCTGAAACTGGATTAATTCTAAAGTGTAGGTGAACCCCGACTCTATCCCTCAAACTACTAGGCAAAACTGCTCATGTAGGTGCAATATTGTACAAACATTTAAAGACTGTTGAAAGCTTTGGAACCTTACTGCCATAAAATTTTCCTTTTTGTCATTATTACAGTAAGTTAAAAATTTGATCCTGTGCCTTTCCTTGGTATGTTGAGTAATTTTAACCATTCTGTTTCCTATTTAGGGCAAGAAGGGTGAGATTGGTCTTCCAGGAATTGATGGATTGCCAGGACCTGTCGTAAGTAATACCTGCTGTTTAGAATTACTCAGTATGCCCAAGTGTGAACACTGGTGGAGTTTGGGGAAAGCAGACCTTGGCATTTGGGAGTTTTTTTTTTTTGCGTTTGGAGCAACTTGAGAAACTGCAAGTCGCTTCTGGTGTGAGAGAATTGGCCGTCTGCAAGGATGTTGTCCAGGGGATGCCCAGATGATTTTGATGTTTTTATCCTCCATCTGGGAGGCTTCTCTCATGTCCCCGCATGAGGAGCTGGAGCTGATAGAGGGAGCTCATCCGCCTCTCCCCGGATTCGAACCTGTGACCTGTCAGTCTTCAGTCCTGCCGGCACAGGGGTTTAACCTACTGCGCCACCGGGGGATCCATATTTGGGAGTTGCTGGGATCAAAGAGCAATCTGAACCCCACCAATGATAGAATTGAGCCAAACTTCCTACACAGAACCCCCATGCCTTGAAGGGACTCTCTGGCGTGAGCCTCCCTCCAGCCTTGCATGCTCTCCGTCGCCTGCACATGCACACCATGCTGCCATGCACTGAGCATGCCTGCTCTCCCCTCCCCACTTGGAGTCTCAGAAACAGCCCTCCCCTTGGCTGAGAGGCCAGCTGAGAGGCCAGCCAATCAGTAGAGGAGGACTTTTGGTGGGAGGATTCACCGTCTGTTTCCAAAAAGGAAGAGAAGGACAGGTGAAGAGATCTTCTGCCTTCTCTGCCAAAGGGGTTCCTAAGACCATCAGAAATATATGTTTACAAGGTCTTCAACCTTGTCTACCAAAGTGCTGGTGTTTCACCAAACTGCAGCTCATAATTCTAGAGCATTAAGCCATACCAGTTAAATGGGTGTCAAACTGCATTGATTCTGCAGTGTAGATGATCCCTACTAGCAAGACCTGTTGAGCCCAGTAGGTCTGAATTCTGAGTAATAACATTGGGTTTGCACAGCACATAATCACATTTATTGCAAATACACCTTTCTGGACTGGAACACCCAATGATCGAGGCCCTTGAGTTTTATGTGAGGTTATGATTCAATGAAAGAAGGGCTCTTCAAGAGGCTGCAAGACAATTATTTGCTTCCTGTAAGAATTGTTCATCTAGATGAGAAAAGGCAGATGAAAATTCCATTAACCGGAATTTCCCAATGCATATAAATGCAGCCAGGGTGCGTGAGTTTTTGGAGTTTGTATTTTCACTCCTTGATTCAGGGTGCATTGTTGAAGAGCAACACCAAAGAAAATAAAACCTTTTCATCAGGAAGCAAAAATTTCCAGACTTGTAGCCTCCTTTCAAGTTTACAAATGTTATTCCAACAAACAGTTCCTTGCCCTTCTGCCGAAATCCTAGGATGCTCTCCAGAGATATTTGTATGCAGAAATCTGGCCAATGCCATACTTAGCAATCAGAGAGCCCCTGGATAATTCTGTTTTTTGTTTTGTTTTGTTTAGAAGAGGAAGTGATTTTGTTTACTAAAATAAGACCAGCCTTCACCTCATCAGGCCGCCTCGCTTAATAACTTGGGACGGCTCATTTGTGCTGCGATAAAGCAAGCACTTAAAATGATTAAAAAGCCAAAACAGTCAGCTGTACCGAGCCTTTGTGCTGGAATGGCCAAGTGTTTTGCATTTTGCTGTAATTTTCTGAGTATTATATTACCATTTTAAGCAGTCAGGAGCTATTGTACTTGCCAAGGTTTCTCATTACCATAAACATCCATGCACCTGAGGAATGGATGCAGTTAACTCCATAAAAAGTCCCTGGTGAAGGAAAGGATATTTTCAAAACTCTAGTTTCAAGGCAGATATATTCACTGGCACAGGTTTATGATGGTATTCTTTGAGATTTACACATTGCTCTTCATGTTTATTTTGTTTATATTAATAATAATAATAAACCTTTATTTATACCCCACTAACATTTCCTGAAGGACTCGGTGCGGCTTACAAGAGGCCAAGTCCCAACACATCAATAAAACAACAGCATAACAATACAACAATAAATAAACTCAAAAAGAACATTGATCATCTTTTCTTATGATCTAAATTCTCTGGTACCACATAACATTGAGAAGTCAATTTTTCACAAAATACATTATTTTCCTGTTGTGCAGTGTATGTGTCATTGTTCATAAAATACTATGGATCTTGGCACCATGTTTCCTGACTTGGAAATATGAATTAACTATTTGTAAGACTTTACTACATCTTTAATAATTCCCACATGCATGTGGGTATTAATTCCACATGATAATTAATTAGTACAGAGTGTTGAAATTAAAAGGATGTGGAATTTTAAACTTTCCTTATATTGTGCACAGGTTTGTGAGTCAGTTTACAACACTCAAGAAATGGGTGAAATTAACTTTCTCCAAAGACTTATGTAAATGGATGTTTCCAAATTGAGGTGATCAGAGTGATGGTGCTTCATTTCAATTACATAGGGATAGGATTACTGCCTTAGTTGGATTAAAATCTACCTTTTTATATTCTTGTTAGAAATCTGATAGGACTATACAGCACAGTATCTTGTGCATAATTACTTATTTCAATGAGCTTATTGAGAAAGCAGCATCACATTATGGCTGCTTATCCCATTGAATTCTATCGGATCAAGGGTCTTTCCAAATCATTGGCATTTAGCAGTAGATAATTTCTGAGTGATGTGGACCAGGGTCATGCAGGACCTTCTGTGGGGATGATCCATCTATTGTTTGATCTATCATCGTTCCATCTAATCTATCACCTTTCTTTCTTTATCCTGGAACAGAAGTATTGTGCAGGGAAATCCAGTGGTTCTCAACCTGGGGTCCCCAGATGTTTTTGCCCTTCAATTCCCAGAAATCCTAACAGCTGGTAAACTGGCTAGGATTTCTGGGAGTTGTAGGCCAAAAACATCTGGGGTCCCCAGGTTGAGAACCACTGATCTAATCCATCACCTTTCTTTCTTTATCTTGGAACAGAAGTATTGTGAAAGGATGTGACATCTGCATTACATTTACCATTGCTTTTTTTTTTCTAATGTGTAATGTTAGGAAGAAATATTTCTGTTCCAAGAGTATCATACATTTTCAGAATTCAAAGTGAGAATACTTTTTAAAAAAAATAGTAATTGGAAAACCTTTCTACATCCTGTTTTCATTATTGTTATTTCTGGTTATTTTGCCCCCTCTATTGGCAAGATATTGTAAAGCAACTTTCTGTTTATTTACAATTTATAACATTGTACATTAACTTCTCAAGCCTGGGGTGAAGGAATGAATAAGTAGATGATTGTTTTTAACAATATATGTATGTGTATTTGTTTGCAGGGTCCCCCAGGATCTCCTGGAGTTGCTGGTTCTCCTGGCCTTGCTGGTGCCCCAGTAAGAAAATTGTTTTCATAAACTGGTATCTTCCATTACCAAATTCCAGTCCTTCAAATGTTTTGGACTTCAACTCATCCAAAAGTCTTAGTGCAGTGGTTCTCCACTTGTGGGTCCCCAGATGTTTTGGCCTTCAACTCCCAGAAACCCTAACAGCTGGTAAACTGGGTGGGATTTCTGGGAGTTGTAGGCCAAATCACCTGGGGACCCAAAGGTTGAGAATCACTGCCTCAGTGGCTTTGGACAATGCTGGGGAATTATGGGAACTGAAGTACAAAACACCTGGAAGACCAGAGTTTAGGAAATTGTAACGTTTCCCCTCAAATCCATAGAGATTTGAGGATGACAGTTCTGGAGTGCTGTTGAGAGATCTAGAACAGTGGTTCTCAATCTGTGGGTCTCCAGATGTTTTGGCCTTCAACTCCCAGAAATCCCAACAGCTGGTAAACTGGCTGGGATTTCTGGGTGTTGTAGGCCAAAACACCTGGGGATCTCCAGGTTGAGAACCACTGCTCTAGAAGATAAAGGAGGCAGATCTGATTGATGGAGATACAATCCTCCAACCAGTGTTGGAGGGATCATACTGACTTGAAGATTCTGGGTAAACAGTCCAAAATATATTTCTTTTCAGGTTCCATTTTTAAGCCATACATTACATTTGCCTTTGAACAAAGGGGTGGGGAAAAATATTATGACAATGTAAAAGCCACAATCAGACATTTTCTTTGTTTTTTAGGGGCTGCCTGGAGAAATGGGGAAAAATGGACAGCAGGGACCACCTGTAAGTGTTTGAAAGCTTTTTTTTAAAAAAAAATCCTGATTTTTGTTGAAGTATAAATGGGTGGATGAGAATGCTAAAGTATTCAAGCCCACATGTTTGATTCGGGAGGTTAGGTGCATGTGTGAATAGAACTGAAGCCTCCAAGCATGGTGGAGTCTCCTTCTTCGGAGGTTTAAAGCAGAATGTGGTTGGCCGTCTCTTGGGAGTGCTTTGATTATGTATTCCTACATGATGGACTGAGGTTGGATTTGATGACTCATATATATTCTTGTTGAATTAGTCAATTGTGAAAATGAAACAAAATAACACACCAATAACCACCACTGACCTTTAGGTAGGATCTCTTTCATATTAGTCATAACACTTCAGTATCACTGGCATAGCTCAATTCTGTGGAATCCTGGGATTTGCAGCTTCATTAGGAATTTTGAATTGTCTCCTACAGAGCCATAGTACTTCATGAAATTAGAAATCCAAGGATTCCATAGCATGCAGTCATACTACCAAAGTGATATTAGAACCTTTTCATGTGAAAGAGACTCAGGTTTTTTACATAAGTAAAAAATTGAATAAGTCTTTGCATCTTTTCTTTGGCATTCCTGACATCTAGTGGTTACTTGCAAGACTGCTGTAATGGAATAAAAAACTGAATCTACTATGATCTTAAGTATGTTTCATGAGAGCAAATCCCACTTCGGTTCAGTCTGGACCATGTACAATCAAGGCTGCATGGGAAGAAGGAAGTCCAGTTTGCTGGTACTTCCATCATTGGGTCAGGGGAGGGTACTAATCTGATCAAGTATTCCAGGCAAAATCATCATTTCATCATCTATATTTTGACAAAGAAATGGGACACAAAGAGAGTTACAAAATCAAAACATCTACTACACAAGAAATTCAACAAAAAGTGATTGGACAATTATTCCCTTATGGAAGCAGTTGGACATTTTGTCTGCCATGGATTGTTCACATTTACTTCATGGTTGCAGAAGTGGAGTTCTGCGTGTGATTTCATTTCAACATGGATGTCCAATGCATATTGTACAGATTAGAATAATGCACAAGGAATGTGCATTGTACATATGCATCAAAGTGCGGTACACATTCAGGTGTATAGCGTTGCCTCCTTGATGCAATATCATGGCCATGATTTGTTGTCCCATATCTATTCCTGCTCCCTCAAGGTCAGTCCAGTCACTTGAGGGAGCTGGGGGTGGTAACGGCCGACAGGGAGCTCTGGCGTGGGCTGGTCCATGAGGTCACGAAGAGTCGGAGACGACTGAACGAATGAACAACATCTATTCCTGCCTTCTCTCACCTACTTCTTCCCAAGTATTTGAAATTCATGGTTGTACTTCATGCATCTTCCAAAGTGACTGATGTGCCCTAGTTCACAAGGACTGGTGTCGTAATATATTAGTCATCTTTCTGCAACCGATTAACTTCTCCTTTAAAAAGTGGAAGGCAAAACACACTGCATTATTAAAATTGATATATGTGTCTTGTTTTACAACTCTTTTCTTTAGGGTTTACCTGGAAAATCTGGTCTGGAAGGCTTACCTGGACTTCCTGGTTCAAAAGTAAGTAGTGAAATTTGATAAAATAATTCTGATATTCAGCTAAATTAGGTTGATAGGGAAATCTGCATTGGCAAGGAAACCCAGACTCACCTCAAATTCATTTCCCTTCCAATGAAATCCGCGGTCTTCCGGTGAGTGTTGTGATTTTTTTCCCCATCATTAAATTGACTTTGCCCTACTTTGGCTTCAGGACAGACTGGATAATGGAATATGATCTGATTAAGAGCCTATCCCATTGTCCAGACTTCCTTGAAGAGGGTGATGGTGTCCAGCTGTAGCACCATAACCTTTCAACTGTTTTCAACTGTTGGTAAAGATGGCTTAGACTGCTAGGAATTGAAGTCCAAACATTTAGAAGCCTAAAGTGTAGAAATCAGTGATCTAGGAGGTCTCTTATCATAGAATCAAAGAGTTGGAAGAGACCTTATGGGCCATCCAGTTCAATCCCCTGCCAAGAAGCAGGTGTATTGCATTCAAATCACCCCTGACAGAGGTTTATCATAAGTGTCAGCCAACATGATGAAAATTAACAACAAATATTATATACAGCCCGGAAAACCCACAAAAACCCACAAATATTATTAGTGGTGTGCATTTTTTTGGTTAGTCCTCATAAGTCAGACCAAATTTGCAAAATTCATATTTCTGGATTGATACCTGATACATGGGCATGGCCCAAGACAAAAAAAAATTAAGAATCAAAACTTACTCCATACTTTTTCATTTTATCTAAAAATTAGTAGTTTAATTATATAAATTGTTTCTCTAACTTTTGTTTGCATTCTTTACAGGGAGAGCGAGGAGACAGAGGAGAAGATGGTTTTCCTGGGAAAATGGGACCCAAGGTAAAATAAGAGTGCATGGGGAAAAGAGGAGGGAGAGATTTCTGCTCTGTTATTAAATTTAATTACTATGTTATTTCCAATTTCTCTGCACAAGTTAGACTATGAGAAAATATTTAATAATCCAACACATTCAAAATGTTATGCCAAAGTAGAATTTTACTGATGCATCACCAAAATAATAAATAAATGTGCCCTAGAGTCTGTTCCTTTTAAAACTCGAACTATAATTTCTACGTATCCTTAGAAAACATAACTCATTGGTAACAATGATAAGGCAGGGAAGGGATTAAAACAAAGGAGACAGCATTATAGGTGGACAAACACAAGTATGAAAGCATGGCCCTTAACCTGTGAGACCTGAGCAGGCCTGTTAATGATTGGAGCTTTTGGAGATTCCCTCATTCATAAAATGGGAAATAACAAAAACAAAATTCATATATTTGGGGCTATTTATTACCTCTGTTATCGGAAGCCATCCTACATTTACTGAGAATATGAAATGTAGGGTGTAGTTGTATGTATGTTCTCCATTGTACAAAACATCTTGGCTACTTTGTGAACAGACTGGCCAGAATCATGTTGCCATGACCTAATGGCACAAACAAAGCTGAAAGTACTTGCCTTTTTAGTGTTCATTTGAAATAGAAACTTAGGTAATCCTTGATTCAAATCTTCCAAATAGTAAGCCTGAAAATTATAGTATAATGACTCTACACTAATGACTGTGGTTCCATTCTATGGTATACTGGAATTAGCAGTTTAGGGATATGTATTTTTTATATATGTTATATGTATTTTTAGAATCCTAGCCTAAAATACCCTAGACACCAGATCCTCTCTGATGTTGGAGGCTAAGCAGAGTCAGCCCTTGTTAGTACTTGAATAAGAGACTGCCAAGGAATACCAGGTGCTGTAAGCTATATTTTAAAAGGAGTAACCAACAAATCTACATCTGAGTGGCCCTTGCCGAAGAAAATGCTTTGAAATTCAGAGGTTGCCATATGTCAATATGCAACTGGAAGTCACACATACATATTTAGCCAGAAAGCCCCAGTGCCTCACCAAACCCTAGGATTTCATAAGATGCATCCATGGAAGGTAAATCAGCATCATGGTGGAAGGTGGAAAGATACAAAATCAAACTGAAATTCAGGCTCTATCTTGTTTACATTCATGTGTCTTGGATCATTACATGACCAGAGAATGGAAGAAATTAAAACAAATGCCTAGTTTATGCTACATTGATATTAAAGCTTAAAAGCAAGAGTAAACAAATATGGCAGGTCACATCCTTTGGCTTTGCAGAGGACATGCCGCCTGTCTAAAATCACTCTCCCAATGAAATAATAAAAGGAATGCAAACCTGATTTTGAAAAATTGCATTTGTATGTGATTTAACCTGTTTCATGGGTAAATTGCCATCCTTGGACATAATTTTATGACCAGGAAAATTATGGACCAGGTAGTTAACTGGAGTCAAGAGAGAAATAAAGACCCCCAGCATTAAGAGCTATATGTTCTTGTCCCATCAGGTAAAACTTTTCTGGGCTTAAAAAACAGTACAGAACTTTAAGAGATAAATTGACTACTGAATGTTATCTGTAATAAAACTGTTACTTTCTTTTAATTATAATTTCAGGGTGAAACTGGAGAGCCTGGCCGACCTGGTCTTGTGGGCGAAAGGGTATGCATTGCTGATTTAGATTTATATCAAACCAGAACAGCCTCACCAAACCAAGCAGATGAGAGCCAATTTCACTAGGACGTTTTGGCGATTCAAGATGGTGAACATTAGAAGGGTGATCGAAGGGGATATTTCATGAAGCAAGGGACAGTACAAGTGTGCCCCCCCCTCAGACACCAATGTTTTTGTCAGTCTTCCCATGGAGAGAGTGACTTTCTGAAGGTGAATGTTTTCAGTCCATGTGTGCTTTTCATAGCTTGTCGAAAATCAGGGTTCCAAATTAATAGGAGAGGTCCTTTCTCTTGAAAAGTTGCCCTGTATGTGGGATCACTATATTAGTTACAATTCCTATCATATTTATTATAACCCTTTCATGATTATTCTATTGCCAACAGAACAGTGAGTTTTAGGCTAGACTTTAAAGGAGCTATCCAAGGAGTTAAACCCTATTCCTCCAATAAGTTAGTTTGGTACTGAAAACTACAGTGTGATCACCACCTCAATTATATCACATTCAAATTTACTGTTGTGTTAACCACAAGTAGAATGCCTGAACAAGGTGTGTCCATTTGCTAATTACGTAAATATTAGAAAGAGGGTGATATTTGCACTGAATGTTGACAGAGAGAAGGCACTAATGTTTTCTTCACCCCATTGTTTTAGGGTGAAGCTGGCCTTCCAGGCCCATCTGGTTTGCCAGGACTGAGAGGAGAAAAAGGAGATCATGCAAGTATTTTGGAGTGTTAGTTTATTTAGGGAAGAGCTTGAAGGAAAGGGGCTTCTGCTTGAAGAATAGAAGATAATGAACAGGTTTTTTAGAGGTGATCCCTTTCCAACTAAAATTTGCTTGGAAGCATTAAAATTTGCTGTTTTCTCACTGTTCTGATTTTATACTTTTAAGCAAGTGCTTTTGTAAAATGTTTCCACTTGAATGTTGATTCACTGCATCATATTGGTGCACATGAATGCTGCCCACTATGGTTGAATAAGCACCTGATTTTGTTCTGTGCTTTACAGGGTGAAAAAGGGAGAGCTGGGCTTCCTGGCTTCAAAGGAGAAAGAGGTGACAAGGTGAGTCCTGACAACATTTGTAACAACATATATCTAGGGATAGCCATGTTGGACATACAGCAAAATACAGCTTCCAAATTGCAGCAAAACCTTTATTGGGCCAGGCAAAAATGCATGAAATGCATTACTCAAGCTTTAAAAGCTGTAATGGTTTCACCATCAAACAAAAATGTTAAAAATCATACAGGAGGAAAAAAATGATAATGTAGGACTCTCCGGTCTACATGTTGTTGTTGGAAGTTAAGATGATCTGAAAAATATCAATACAAGTGAGAGAAAATGAATCATGAAATCCAGGCAAGAAAATTTCAACAGCATTAGCAACAGAAGAAAAGTATCATTATACTTGAGTATAAGCCAAAGCAAAAATAAGCCAAGGCACCTAATTTTACCACAAAAAAACTAGGAACATTTATGGACTTGAGTATAAGCCGAGGGTTGGAAATGTTTAATCTTAGCTTGTTTTTATTTTACTGGTGTGCAATCCTACAAACCTGTGATATTAGGTGAAAGATAGATTGATTGATCAGTCATTTGATCAATCAACCAGTGCTTGGATTGCATAAGATGTGCTGTACACTCATTTTTTTTACCTCTTCATATAACATTTTATAGGGTGACGTTGGCGCCCCTGGCCCCCCAGGCTTACCAGGAACGGTGAGTATCACATTTTTCAGAATTATATAGTGATAAGTGAGCCGTGCCTGTAAATTGGTACAATTTGATGATTGTATTGGTATTGATTATTCATTTTGTGATATGGGGAAACCATGGATTTGCATGACCCCCTGGAAAGAAAAACACCTCTTCTCTATGACAAACATAGTAAGGAAATTAGCTCTGTCAAAATTATCTTTTTATCACAATTTTTGATTCAATATTTTCCTACACTGTATTTATTTGTTGCTGTGCTGTGAATAGATGATACATAGATCTTTTTATCTATGACATCCATCTATCATCCATTTATCTAATAACATAATAAAGTAAAGGTAAAGAAAGGCAAAGCTAACAAACATAATCAATTTGGCAGATAGCAAATATAGTGAGTTAATATCTGCTTATTCACTCCACTATATAAGATTCATCTCTTCTTTTTATTTGTTCCTGTTCTAGACCTCCCTGATGACACCTCATCCTAGAGTCCCTGTGAGTAACAATTTTTTACATTTGACTTCCTTGTTGTCAGTCTGGTAAATTAAACCCAGGTTAGATATTAAGCAACCATCCAGATATTGGCTTCAACTCCCAACATTCCTCACCATTCCCTACATTGGCTAGGGATGATGGAATTGGGGGATGAAAATTTCTATAAGACCATGTGATTGTTTTCCTTGGATTGAAAACATGCTTATAGGGCAAAGTTGTAGTTGCCATTAAACATGTGACTATACACCCATTTAACAAAGCTGTCAATGCATGGGTCTCTTGGAGGTCTCTCACTTTAAAGGTTGCCTCAAATCAAAACCAAAAGGCAGTAAATAATCGCAACCGCAAGCTGGATAGAGGCAGTGCCTCCTTTCCATATAACTGACCCTGAACAATGAAATGAGCAAAAATCCCCCAAAAGATATCTCCATTTATTATCTTAGGTCCCTTCTACACTGTCCTATATCCCAGGATCTGACACCAGATTATATGGTTTGAACTAGATTAAATGAGTCTCCATTGCCAGATAATCTCGGATAATCAGATAATCTGGGAATAGATCAATGGGGAAACTTTTGAGGCTCCCCTTTCTGTCATTTTTAGGGAATCAGACTTAAGAAACCACTTTTTATGAGTTCCTTTTTTCTCATATCCTTCAACTACATCTGGGCTAAGGCATAAGACTTAAGAAACCACTTTTTATGAGGTCCTAGTACTATTTATGAGGTCTAGTACTATTCTTCAACTAGATTTGGGTTAAGGCACCTGATTTAGGAAACCACTTTTTTCTTGGGTCGTTTCCTCTAATATCCTTCAGGTAGACTTGGACTAAGGCATAAGACTTAAGAAACCACTTTTTCTGGGTTCCTTTCCTCTAACATCCTTCATCTAGACCTGTCTTAACGCATCACACTTAGCAAGCCATTTTTTTCTGGGGTCGTCTCTCCTCATATCCTTCAACTACACCTGGGGAGGAATTAAATTCTCCCTGTGGGGAACTCAAGGGAGTCAGGCTATCCTCTCTCTTCAGTAAACCACCCCAATATTTAAACAAATACCTCCCAAATGCCTTTTTCACAGGACACCCCAAAGGCATGCCCACCCTCACTTTTCTAGTGAAATACTAAAAAAAGAAAGATATTAAACTAAGAAAAATAAATGAAATTACCAAAAGAAAAGATTGAAATTGAGCCCAAAAGCAAACAAAGCAATCCTAAGAGCAGCAAAGGCACTGAGTTAGAACACAGAGCATGTGAGCTGCCTTCTTATTCTGATTGGCTAAGGCAGGAAGCAGAGCTCACAGGGAAACCCATGTGGGCACACGACTGTTTTTGGCAGCAGCTGTGTCATGAATGACTTCTCAATAACTTTAAAGCATAGGTTGTTTTATTGTGATTTCTAGTGTGAGAGGGTATATCAGATTAAAGAAAACATTTAGCCAAAGAATGATATTAGACATACAGATTCCATGCAACTATATTTGATTTACAATTACATAGCTAACAAACAAACAAAGGGGAATTGCATTTTCACTCAACATTCACACACATGTACATGTATTCATCCTCATGCACCCAAATATTCTCCCTCCTTGGAGAAGCAACGATTAGGCCAGACCCTGTTTTCCTGCAGCTTGTCAATGCATAGTTAGTTACATAAGGCCAAAACTCCAAGACGCTGAAATGCCAAAACTTCTTTCCCTAAGAACAATGCCAAGGACCAGATCTCCAAAAGCGCACTTCTTTTTCTTCTCTTAAGAAAGAAGGCGAAAGTGACCAGACTGCTCCCGTGCAAATCTGCCACTCTCCATACAGACACTATCTCCCTCCTTCCCATGGAGCAGAGCATAGTGGGTGGAACAGACTCCTCAGGTCTGCCACACCTTGAGCATTATTAGACTGAGTCTTTTATAGGAATATTCTGTTGATGTAGTCCCAAAATTGTAAATTAATGATAGACTTCTTCCATCCTGGCTCCATCTCAGTTTCCTGGCGAATTGTTAATTCTTTTTATTGGTGTTGATCTTATGTTGACTTTCTTCTTAACATTGTAAACATTTCTGTTATCACTGTCCCACTTTTTATCAGAGTTGGCTTTTCAGTTCTTATTAGCAACTTCCAACCACAGACCAGCAAGCAGGTAGTTAATTGTTGCAGGCCTTAATATTATACCGGTGTTTCCAAAATTATTAACTCCACTCATACAACTTTCATTCTTACATTCATTCCCACACATCATTATTATATCCACATTTATCAAATCTGCATATTAAATTTTTGTGACAGCTGGTCTGTTGTGTCTGGAAAAAGTGGCGGCACTGCCCATGCTGTTATGGCTGGCCAAAAGAACAGAAACAACCAAAACAGTCAGAGCTTGTTTTGAAACACTGACCCATGCACAGCCCTAATAGCTGTTCATCTGTACTTGGATTGTCAAGCTCAGATATTTCTGCTGTCTTGGTCTCTTTCTCTCTCTCTTTTTTTTTAGTAAATTGGTAATATACTTTTCACAGTTCATTTCAACTCACCTGTATAAACAAACAGCGGAAGAAACATTAAATCAGCTTCACAAGATTAATTGACTGCCCCAGTTTCCATGGTGACATTGATGTGCCTATACCTTTTTGAAGATTATCCTTGTTGTTAATGTAATAAATGTGTAACATTGTACTTTTTTGTAATTTTGTTGTTGAAGGAGGAAATGCAAGCTTGGAATGGCTGTATCAATCTTTTCCCAATTTAGCAATCAGTGCTAGCAAATTGAAGGGAGAAGTTCATTATTCAAGTCATTCATGTCATCCTGTTGTTCTTTTCTGGACCACCAGATGGCAGCAGCAATGCTTCACAAGTGATACTAGCAGCTTCCTCTCTGATGTAGAGCAGGTTCTGAAAGTGTTTGGCACTCTACAGCCAAAACATTTCAAAAATAGACATTTTGTAGGATTAGGTTGTTGTAGGGTTTTTTTTTTTGAGCTATATGGCCATGTTTTAAAGGCATTCTCTCCTGATGTTTCACCTGCATCTATGGCAAGCATCCTCAGAGGTTTTGTAGGATTTTAAAAAAAAACAATTTATTTTTTGGTAGTTGCCCTACTCTTGTTTCCTCTATCATAGCCCCACAATATCTCTGAATAATAATACGCCTACAATGTTGAAGGCCACCATGGTGTAGTGGTTAATGTGTTGAACTATGATTCTGGAAACCAGGGTTTGATTATCCTCTTAGTCATGGAAACCCACTGGGTGACTTTGGTTGAATCACAAACTCTCAGCTCCAGAAAATGCTATGATATCAGGTCATAGATTGCCATAGGTCAAAAATGACTTGGAGGCACACAACAACTGTGATTATGGGAAACTGTGCCCATATTGTCAACACAGCAATCTGATGACCAACCAAATGATAAACTGGAAGTAAGATACATTGTCTCATCTCTCAAAGTGAGCCTGACCTCTAAGACTTCCCTTCTTATAGTATTATAATTTGCTCATTCTTGTACTCTTTGCTACAGTTTTCTCTAACCTGGAGATCTCCATCATCTATAACTTCCATCATTTCATAGACAAAAACTAGAATGCATGTTGGACATGTTGCATCAGAATTTGATCAAAATCGGAAACATTATTAATAAGGAAGGACACATAAACTATGAGAGACTGCACCAGTTTGCTTTTATCTGAACCTACTAGAAAGGGCATGAGTCTTCCCCTGTTCTCTTTTTTCTGAGTTAACTGAATACAAACTACTTTTGTATTTTTACTTCATTTGCGGCAATTAAACTTGCATGATTTGAAGGCAGAAAGTGGAGAAGGAGAGATAAATAAGAACATTTTAAAAGCAGCTGAAAAAGTGGGATGAGAGACAATTAATTGAGTTTTTTTTCATGTAAGGAGTGACTTGAGAAACTGCAAGTCGCTTATGGTATCCGAGAATTGGCCATCTGTAAGGATGTTGCTCAGGGGACACCAAGAAGTCAACCCTCCTGTTTAAGGAGCTCCACTGGCTGCCTTTCATTTTCTGGTCCCAATTCAAGGTGCAGGTGCTTACCTACAAAACCCTAAATGGTTTGGGACCCGCCTACCTACGTGACTGCATCTCTGTGTATGAACCCACACGTTTTCTTCATTCATCTGGAGAGGCCCTGCTTACGATCCCACCGGCATCGCAAGCACGATTGGTGGGAACGAGGGATAGGGCCTTCTCGGTGGTGGCCCCTCGACTCCGGAACTCTCTCCCTAAGGACATCAGGCAGGCCCCATCGCTAGCAATCTTTAGGAGGAGCTTGAAAACGTGGTTGTTCCAGTGTGCCTTTCCAGAATAAGGAAACTCCTAGCATTATGTCCCAACGCACTTTATTAGAGATCCAGGATATCTGCATGCCCACCCCCCTCCAAACACCCCACCTTGTCATGCCCAGCACTTTTAATTTTTAATTTTAATCATTACATTTGGCTCGGCCATTGTTCTTAATTGCGTTATTGGATGTTGTTAATGTTATTGCTATTTTTTGCTATTGCTTTGTTTTTTGAGTTATTGTGCTGTTGTTGTTGCTGTTGTTTTTATTGTTGTATTTGGGCTCGGCCTCTTGTAAGCCACCCCGAATCCTTTGGGAGATGGTAGCGGGGTACAAATAAAGGTTTATATTATTATTATTATTATTATTATTATTATTATTATTATTATTATTTACCATCTTGTGGGAGGCTTCTTTCATGGCCCCACACGAGAAGCTTGAGTAGACAGACAGGAACTCACCCCGCTCCCTGGATTTGAACTGCTGACCTTTTGGTCAGTAGTCCTGCTGACACAAGGGTTTAACCCATTGCGCCACCAGGAACAATTATCAAATTGGAAGAGTTGGAAAATATGGACTAGAGGTTAACACCATTGCCTCCCAGCACCTGCCACCAAATGATAGATCTGTTGTAATGATTACAATGTTTTACAAAAGGGAGATTGCCACAGATAATATTCATTATGCTGTTTCATTATGTTCAGCAGTCAAAGATTGGCAAAGTGTGGCTTGTGGGTTTCATGGAGTACTAAAAGCATTTATATGGTTCCCAGTGCTCCCTCCCCAACATTTCCATTTGTCCCCAAAATGTGCTCAGATACCTCTGCTGTGGGAGACAACTGGCAAATGTTTGCCCCTCTGATGCCCTGGCTGAGGAAAAATCCTTTTTTCCCAACTGGAATTGACTCAATAGTATAGCTCACTCAGAACTTCTGGAGTCCAATGTGGCCCTGTTTTCCCTGACAGTTACTTACCTCAATTTAATTCCATACAGTTGTCACACATTGCCTCGTGGTTCCACAATTACTTTATTCTGGGTTTTTTTTCCCACCAGGGTGAACAGGGGCCAAAAGGTGACAAAGGTGACCGAGGAGAAAGAGGTGAACCCGTAAGCATATGATCAAAATCTTTTTTTACTTGCTGTGGATTTTGGGAAGTAAAGAGAGGAAATTTGCTTGAAGCTATAGATATGTGTGCATATTAAGAGCAGGAACACTTAACAGTCATCAGAACAGAAGAAGGGATGGAGTGAGGCTTTGTCAAATTGTATAAACAACTCTTCAGTGATGAATGTCAAAGATTTGCCATCTATCCCACTTCATTGTTGGTCTTCTGTGTCTCTTAGGGCCCTTCCACACAGCCATATAACCCAGAATATCAAGGTAGATAATCCACAATATCTGCTTTGAACTGGGTTATCTGAGTCCACACTGTCATATAACCTAGTTCAAAGCAGATACTGTGGGATTTTATACAGCTGTGTGGAAGGGACCTAAATGTCTACTAAAACCTGTAAATATACTCCAGGGTATTACTGATTGTGTAAGGAATATTTGAAATTGTATTAAAATGTTTAGAAAATTTAACTTTATAGTTTAAAGCTTCTTTCTGCACAAACTATGCATGTTTCTGTGCAGAAAATAATATTTCTGTACATACGATAATACTTCTATGCAGAAAAAAAAGTCTTCCTGCAAAAGAAATACAGTAATAATTTGGGATCTATTCTGAACATGTTTGTTTTGTGCAGAAAACATGACTAGAAACATAATTTTATTTTCTGAACAGATTTGCTATACCTGTACAAAATATTAATTACCAACGTTGTGCTAAAATGAGTCTTGTATTGTGAATTGTCATAAAAAATCTCCATTATTTTGAAAGATTTCCTGAAAACAGCATGAAAATTTGTAAAATTACCAATTGCTTACATTTCTAATGAGATGGATAACTATGGAAAACAAGTGGGACCTACCAGAAATTGTTACATTGCAGAACAACACCATTATTTCTTCCGCTTTACTCATGTTTCTATTCCTTTCACAGCAAAAGCAGCATTCCATGTCCATTGGGCACACTTATCTATTATTACAATATTTGAGTTTTTTTTCTTCCCAAGATATGTGTGTTTTTTCATATTGGCAATTTTTTCAAGTTTTCCTGAGTTTACTGGTCTCATTTTGCCTGTGTGAGGAGTATCATACAACATGTAGGCAAACTGGACCAGCATAAGAAGCAGCGTTTTTAGCAATGCCCTTCCTTACCTTTTATTGTCTATGCCTATATTCGTATTGCTAAAATAAAAGCTGTAATAACATTTTACAGGCCTACAAAACTGTGGGTCACAAATTTTGTTTTATAAAAGTGCAGGCTAGTTTTCTATGAATACTCTACAGCAATATACTTTAATAGAGCATTTGATTTATAGTCCTCTCTCCATCTCCTTTCACAGGGAGGACCAGGAATTCCAGGTGAACAAGGGCCACCTGGCCTTACAGGGCAGATGGTGAGTGAACAAAGCTGAAACTGAAAATAGCTGATATATTGGCCTTTTCTCCGATATCATATAGAGGAAAATCAAGGAATGTGTACAAGAATGATTAATACAGCAATACCACATTACACATCTGTTTAACCAAATCTAATCAAATTGGGATTAATGAGTCCTAGGGACATCTCCATTCCCTAGACCTCAGGGAATCGGAAATTGAGAATGAGATCATTGCCTTGAACAGTGTATGTGTATCAATTGGACTTGATATTTTTATTTGAATGATTACTTAGTGTATCAATGACTGATGCTTACTGATAGATGCTTGATGATATCATAATCGGCCTAACATCACTAGAGTCTACCTCCTATGACATCACAAGAGAGCATCGCTAGGTCTCAGGTTTCGACCTGCCATTCTCAATTTGTACACAACATGAATGACTTTCATAGCCTTGTGGTGTAATTTCTGGCCTTCTATCCCCCACTAATAATCACATCCACCGAAGATATGAGCCAGGTGTTGGGATTAGATCAATAGCCCATCTAGTCAAACATCTAGTCAGATAGTATTCTGTTCTGCACTTTCTACACTTCCCTGGCCTTATGATACACTCTTGCACTATCTCTTGCCCAGTCCTTTTATAATTATCACATCTGTTTTGTAATCCTGGCCATTGGTATTTTGAACCCGTCTGATGGAGCTATAATGGAATTGGTTTTAATTTTTTTAAATGTACGTTTTAGTAGGATTTTGTTTTATGATGATTATTTTAATTTGTCTGTATGGTTTTCCTTTCTGGTAATTGAATGTTTTACCTTATATGTTGGAAATGGCCCTGAGTCCCCTTGGGAGATAGGGCAGTATACAAATAAAGACTGGATGGGAGTTAGGTGCATTAAGATCACTACCAAAAGGTCATGAGTTCAAAGCCAGCCCGGGTCGGAGTGAGCTTTTGACCATTGTGTAGCTTGCTATCAACCTTTGCAGTCTGAAAGACAGTTGCATCCATCAAGTAGAAAATTTAGGTACTGCTTATGCAGGGAGGCTAATTTAACTAATTTATGATGCCATAAAAATCTCCAGCAAGCAAGCAAAGAATGAGGAAGTACTCCATCAGTGTCTCAAATGGACGGTGAAGCAACAGCTCCCTAGGTGGCCAGAATACCCTCATGAAAGCTGGAAAGTTAAATAGCCTCTGTGTGTCTGTCTGTATATGTTGTGTGTCTAAGGCATTGAATGTTTGCCATGTATATGTACACTGTAATCACCCCCCCCCCCGGTGGCACAGTGGGTTAAAGCACTGAGCTGCTGAGCTTGGTGACCGAAAGGTCGCAAGTTCGATTTCGGGGAGCGGTGTGAGCTTCCGCTGTCAGCCCTAGCTTCTACCAACCTAGCAGTTCGAAAATATACAAATGTGAGTAGGTACCACTCCGGCGGGAAGGTAACGGCACTCCATGCAGTCATGCTGGCCACATGACCTTGGAGGTGTCTATGGACAATGCTGGCTCTTCGGCTTAGAAATGAAGATGAGCACCACACCCCAGAGTCAGACATGACTGGACTTAATGTCAGGGGACTACCTTTACCTTTTTAATCCAACCTGAGTCCCCTGCGGGGTGAGAAGGGCAGAATATAAATACTGTAAATAATAATAATAATAATATCTTCTTCTTCTTCTCCCCAATGTAGTTCACCATATACCTGTAAAATACCCATAAGCAGTGAATGAAAAAAATGGAATATATAAACTCCACACAGCCCAACAAGTCATTGTTATACCCTTTGTGTTCTTTGCATCCTCCATTACCCACAGTTTTTCACTGGCTTGTAACACCTTTCCAGGTGGTTTTGTAATTCTGCCATCAAGATATATTTGGCTTCGTGCTAGGAAATTGTCTATCTCTTACCTTTTTTTCTTTCAAAAATCTTTTGTTTCAATAATTCAAGTCAATAGTCATCAGGTCCTCTTGTGGAAGCAAATTTTGAAGTCTGACTCTGCACCACATGAAGAAATAAATTCTTTTATTTACCTGAATCTTGATTGCATGACCTTGATTTCTAGACCTGTGAGAGACGAAGAAAAGCATCCCATTGCATAGAGCTTGATTAAGTCTTTTAAACTAAAGATACCATATACGCTTTAACCTTTCCTCAATCTTTGCTCCAGACCTATGATTATTTTAGGTGCTGTTTCTGAACTTTTTCTAGCTCTGTGATATATGATGAATAATATTCAAAATACACTTGCACCTTAGATATGTATGTGTGTGCACCTTCAAGTTGCTTGTTTACTTACAGTGAATTCACGAATTGCATAGAGTTCTCTTAGGCAAGGAATACTCAAAAGGAGTTTTGCCAGGTCCTTCCTCTAACATATAGCCTATAGCACTTGGTTCATAGTCACCCACTCAATCCTACCCACAACTGACCTTGCTAAGGGATCTGGTGCATCTAGAATATTTAGGCCTACGAGATATGTATAGAAGCATAGAAGTATTTGGTATTTTTAATATATTTTTTACTTCTCAATTTCATAGTACTTGGTTCTTGTGGGTTTTTTCGGGCTATAGAGCCATGTTCTAGAGGCATTTCTCCTGACGTTTCGCCTGCATCTATGGCAAGCATCCTCAGAGGTAGTGAGGATGCTTGCCATAGATGCAGGCGAAACATCAGGAGAAATGCCTCTAGAACATGGCCCTATAGCCCGAAAAAACCCACAAGAACCTAGTGATTCCAGCCATGAAAGCCTTTGACAATACATTCATAGTACTTGTTCTACTGTCACTTTGTTTAAGCAATTTTTATGGAGTGGGTGAAAGGCTATAACTTAATCGCTCTGCTTCCTCCCAGCCGTCTTGCCAAAGAGTACTGTTTCATCTCTCACAAAAGCAGCAGGGAAAAGAGAACTTTCCAATAGGATCACTGAGGTCAGGTGGCTTCACCACACACCCCTGCAGGGAAAAAAAAACATTATTCACTAAGACAATTAGAAGGGAGGATTAAAGGGTTTCTGTACCACCCAGCAATCCCAATGGAAGATTGGAGAGGTGACACAGAATGAATTCAAATGAAAATCAATGTCCTCCAATACTTGCTGAAGCTGATGACCTTGACTTGAGAGCTAAAAACAAGCTCCTCTCCCAGTTTGATTTGCTGCAGTAGATGAGTGACCAAAATGCACAGATACTCTTGAAAAAAGCTGCCTCCTCCCTGTGTTGAAACTGGACCCATCAGAGCTTTATTCCAGGTCTGAATTGGAACTCTGATGATGAGGCCTTAATCAACTGTCTTGTGCATCTCAGCATGATGAAGAGATTTCATTATCTCTCAGTGAATAGGATTAGTAGGAATTGGGTTCCCCTCCCCTCTACAACCATTAAAGTATATTTGTGAAGTGAATAGCTTCAGCATCTGCTTTGGCACCTGCCTTAGGAGCAGGCTCTATTTTGACTAACAATCTGGATCTCTACCAATTTGATCCATCCTCCCTTTAGGCTGATGCCCTGTTTTTTTGTGTTTTTCTAGGGTATTAAAGGACAAGAAGGAGCCATAGGTGTACCTGGAGCCCCAGGAGAGGCTGTGAGTAATTGCTCTATGATTTATGAAGTTTCCCCAGGTTATTTAAGAAGCATCATTCTATATGTGACCCTGGGTTTGGTGCTTTTTTGAAATACCCAAATACCCAAATGAAATTCAACGGTCAGTCAAGTCAGTACAGAAGATGGTCCCTCATACAAGAAATGAATGGGCCCTCCAAGTGGGACATCCTTGGACTTGAGTCCTATAGAAATATGAAAGAGTGAGGCATAGCTCCCATTTATTTCAGTGAAGGCCTTTTTTAAATAAAGAAGCTATGCAAATTTGGATGCATGGAAACAGCTGTTTTCCTGAGACTTATTCCTATATTGGAACATCTGACTTGGCAAAAAGATATTAATATTTTCAGCAGCATAACCAGAAGGGTAAAGGAACCCATAGTCTCAGTCCAATTACTAGTCCCAACAAGAGTCGACTTGTTAAGGCAATAAGACAGAAATTACTATTGTTTTAGTAATATCGATTGGTTCAATGGGTTTCCTTCAGAGTGGAGCAATAATTGTAATTTATGCTACACTGAAGGGAAGTGTGCTCATTAATAATATTTGAACAGATATTCATAGCCCATAACAATGATGCTATGAATATCCAGTCCAAAATTTCCCCAGTGTAGTATAAATGCAGTTGACCTCCTTCTTCATGGATTCTATATTCATGAATTCAGCCATTAATGGTGCAAAACTTCTGACATTTTTTTAATTCCAAAAAAAAAAAACAAGCCTTAATTTTGCCATTTATATAAGGGGCACAATTTTACTACACCACTGTATATAATGGGATTCAAGCATCCATGGATCCTGGTAACCAAAGAGAGTCCTGGAACAAATTTCCCGTGGATACCAAGGATTCACTGTATACTGTATACATGTAGATATATATACTGCAGCAACACTATGAAGCCCCCTCACAGAATAGCAACATTGTACAAAGCCTGTCGATGACTAGTTGGTATTGTGAAATGTACAATGTGAATGAACTGCAACAGATCTTCTTGAATACAGATTTGCATCAAAGGCATGGTTTTGCTTTGTTTGAACAGGGTGCTCCTGGACCTGCAGGCCCACCCGGCCCAAGAGGCCTTCCCGGAAATGTGGTATGTTAATAACAACTTGTGTTATAGTTATCTACTGGGGGAAAACAGTCCTTCTGGAAGGAGCAGACCTCAAACCAATGACTGAAACAACCGTAAAATTTCACATTGTGGATTTTTTTTGTTGCTACTTCATAACTAATTGTGGTACTGTTATGAATTGTAATGTAAATATCAGATATGCAGGATGTATTTTCATTCACTGGACCAAATTTGGCACAAATACCTGATAAGTCCAAATTTGAATACTGGTGCAATTTGGGGGGGGGGGGTTGATTTTGTCATTTGGGAGTTGTAGTTCCTGGGATTTATGGTTAACCCATAATCAAATAGCATTCTGAACTCAAAAAATGATGGAATTGAACCAAACTTGGCACAAAGAGCTCCCATGGCCAGCAGAAAATATTGGAAGGATCTGGTGGGTATTGACCTTGAGTTTTGGAGTTGTAGTTCACCTACATCCAGATAGTGCTATGGATTCAAACAATGATGGATCTGGACCAAACTTGGCACAAATTCTCAATATGCCCAAATGTGAACACTGGTGGAGTATGGGGAAAATAGACTTGACATTTGGGAGTTGCAGTTGCTGAGATTTATAGTTCACCTACAATCAAATAGCATTCTGAACCCCACCAATGAGAAAATTGTACCAAACTTCCCACACAGAACCCCCAATGTATTTTCTGATTGTCTTTGCTGACCTTTCTTACACCCCCCCCCCCCCCCCTCCTGGTGACCCCCAGGGGTCCCAACCCCCAGGTTTAGAAACACTGGCATACGTTTTAATCTGTCTCATTTGACTTGATCCCACTGTGTTATATAAAATAATAATTCCATTTTGTTTTCTTTATAGGGTGTACCTGGTGATCCTGGCCGGCCAGGAAATGATGGGCAAAAGGGAGAAAAGGTACAAAAATAGCTTTTGTTTTTTTAAGTATAATTTCTTGGCAATGTCTCTCAAGTTCTACACATCTGCAGTTGATGTGAACTAATCTCAAGTGTCCAATAGAGAAATGTGTTCTTCACACCACTGACTCTTGTTTAGAGCATTTTTATGTTGCTCTTCAGTTGAAAAAGGCTCATGAAGTAGCTGACAGGGATTAATAACATGACAGTTTCTGTTCTCAGGCTTGCAGAAGGCAATTGATCAGTAACATTTCCTGGTATATATCTTGATGGCTGTATTGAAAATGTGAAGAAAAAGTAGAAGAAAGATTGTCAGTAATGTCGTATTCCAAGAAATGTGTTTCAGTAATGTTTTGGCCTGTGTAAGTGCTTTTGTGTGTAGGTTGGAAAAGATCAGGGAACCTTGATGTTAACATATGACGGTACCAAGTAAGAAAAGGGAAAAATCAAACTGAAGAAGCTGGTGATTTTTAATGGGTATTGGTTCCAATTTTTAATATGCATGCATGCTCAGTGGTTTTACAAATATCACAGAAGAAGAGGAGGAAAAGGGGGAAGAAGATTATTCCAGACAATATAGAATTAATGCAGCTCAGGACACATGAGAAATAGGCCATGGCATAAGAAACAATTTTTATATGTAGTCTGGTATAGAAAAATACCTCTGATATGTCATGTTCCTAATTTGCTGGTGGTTTTCACACTTTTTCCAGGGGGATTTTGGAAAAGAAGGGAAACCAGGACCACCTGGGCCTAGAGGTGAGACAGGACCTGCTGGAGAACCTGGGTTAACCGGCAAGGGTCGAGATGGAGAAAGAGTAAGTCCAAATTATACTTAGCAAGTCAATTCCTAAATCTCAGGTGATATGCTAAATCCATTTCATTTCTTATTTCATAGTCTGCCATCCTTTTATGCTACACTTTATCTCTTTGAAGAAAAGGCATATTAAAAATGTTTGAAATAAATGTCTGTAGATTAGTTCAACTACACCTCACGGGGTGAGTTTAATTTAATCATGTTGGTTTCTGATGAGAGCTTATTTGCTCTAGGATCCATTGGTTTGTCTTCTTGGCATTCCATAGTAGTGTTGTACGCGGTACCTGTTTTAGCTCCCATTTTATCTGATCTTTCATTCCTTTGGTTTCATTCCGGAGCATGAAACGGGAACCCCTTCCCCAGAACAGGTTTACCCCGAATGCACATGTCAACATAGTATATAGGAATCTCTCCTCCAGCAACACAAAATCTGGAGTGGATTATTCCTTTTTCCTACATAGAAGACACCAACCACTGTTTTGGGCAGTTTTGTTTTACTGATTGGATCTTTGTGTTCCTTTGCATCATGTGCTATCGCACGCTGGGCCTGAAATAATGTCTGTTTACAGGACGTGCCTTCTGTATGCCCAACGGGACACCGGGGTGCCTCAGCTGAAGGGCCCCTTAGATTAGAGAAGTGAAGCCTTTGTGCAGTTGGGATAGAGAAACCCACATGTCCTGCTGTTAGGCTTCAAACAGTGAGACTGAACAAAGGTCCTCCTTTGCCTCCAAAACCCTGGGGAAAGGGGTGGGTCTAAAGACTCTAACGATGATTGCCAGGTTGCTGGCCCTATGACTGCAACATGGGGAACCTCCCTGATTGCAAAATGCACACATCTGTTTTTACTAACTATGTCTTCTACTCTTCTAGTTCCAGATACTGCAACCATTATCATAACTCACCATCCTGAGTTCATAGCTGAGTTTAGCTAGCTCTTATACCCCACCACCCAAAAGACTGAGATATGATTTTCTCCATTCCCTATATGTTTCTAGCATATTTCACAAATCAGTAGAAAACACTGCATTTATTTAAGAATTCTGTCTAATCCTAGGGTGAAAGAGGACCACCAGGTTTACCTGGAGCCTATGGACCCAAGGTAAGCATTTGCATTGTTACCCTCTCAAATTATTTTCTACCCTCAAAACTGAATAATTATCCCCTAAATACTTGCTAAGTTGTATTTGATCATGATTTCTCTCTCACACACACACACACATCTTTTCCTTCTCAGGGAGATAGAGGTGCTCCCGGTGTTCCAGGACAGCCAGGAGACAGAGGCATACCAGGGGTTGGACTTGCTGGACCACCTGTAAGTTTAGTTTTCTAATCAATTATACATTAATCAAATACCCATGAGGCCTTTATCAATTCCTTAGGTAGAGGTAGCCATCTTGAGGTATGAAGGAAAAGCTGATTGCCAATTACAACAGTACATGATGTGAAAATGAGGTTGAAAATCACAAACACAGAGTTTTCATCTTTTGAGAAGCATGAGGACATTTTGAGTATTTGAGCCTATATTTTTCTTTGCAATGCCCTACAGTCTTGATAATAATAACCCCCCTGAAGTCAGCAGGGTCTCTTTCATGGTAAAGGCAGCTTTGCTTCATATGTGCCTGCTCTCTAAAAGAAGCAAAGCACTGCAGGAGTGCATCTATACTAAAAAATTAACTACATTGAACTGCATTAAATAGGTCTACATCAGGCATGGGCAAACTTTAGCCCTCCAGGTGTTTTGAACTTCAACTTCCATAATTTCTAACAGCTGATAGGCTGTTAGGAATTGTGGGTTTTATAGTCCAACACATCTGGAGGGCTGAAGTTTGCCCGTGCCTGGTCTACACTGACTGTCTAATGCAGTTTGACGGCAGCTGGAGTTTTATTAGATCTTTGGCCTCTCTCAAAGACTGCTAATGTCTATCCAAATTATAAATGCCAGCATTCTATGGCATTGAGTCATATCAGTTAAACTCGAGTCAAACTGCATTTATTCTACAGTGTAGATGTACATTAAGCAATCTGTTTGAAGACTTAGAGTAGAGCCACCTCATTTCTTGTAATCTATAGGGATTGCAGTAGGGGTGCAAACTGACCTCTCCCAGCATTTAATGAAGGCACCTATGTGTGCAATAAGCTTTGCTAATTCTTTGCCTTTGCCAGATTGTGAAATTGGGAGAAAAACAATGTTCATGAGTCATGACTGCTTGGATAAGTCATTTTCCAATTACCTTTCCCTTCTGAGGAGAGACTCATGGCAAGGTTCCGCAAATCAAATGGATGATTCATCCACAATCAATCAACCTGTCAAATAAGGATATTGCTGGCCATCTTTAAATGTACTTTTTTTTTTCCAATGGACAGAAATTGTGGAACAAAGACAAATTCAGCTACTTGCTTTGATGTCAACATATTCTGCAGTTTGGTACCATTTTGATTTTAAGACTAAATTCTGTTGAATTCTGAGATTTGTTACTTGGGGAGGGAGTTAAAATTTTCTACTACACAGTCCTAGCATGCTTCTAGAAAATATCAATCTTATCACTTTAAGAAGAAAATATGGTGAACATCCCCTCTCCAAATCTCAGGATTCCTTAGGATGGAAATCTGAACCCTTCTATACAGCCACCCAGTTCTAGATTATCTGCTTTTAATTGGATTATATGGCAGTGTAGATCCAGCCTCTGATAGTTAAAGTGATATCAAACTACTGTAACTGGATTCTGCATACACCTACCAACATTACTGAGATGAAAACCAGGATAGATGAGGTTGAATAATTCAGAATATTTTCAAGTGAGTGTGATCAAGCAACAGGGTTACAAAAGTTATATATATGTGTGTAAGTACATTGAAAACTACTATTTTAAACAGAGGGGGCTTTTGATTTGTGTATCTAGTTTAAGGGATGCATTTTCACTGGCCACAAAGAGCAATGTTAAACCAGAGTGACATTGCTGGAGTTTCCATGGTCATGGTTTGGGAGCTGGATGGCAGCTAAACTGCATGCTTCCAAACCAGTCTAGGGGCTGGCTGGCTGGTGGCCCCATGAATGAGCAAAACACTGGTTTGGAGTTACTGGATTGCTACCCTTATCTTGCCTCCCTTGGGTAGGGTTTTGAGGTGACCACAAGTGAAAAAAAGGTTGTGGGGTACTGAAGAAAGGGGGAGGGGGACAATTCCTCCCCTCCACTCCACTTTCCCTTTTCAATAGTCCCCATCACTCTGGCTGATGACCATTGGAGACCGAGGAATGACAATTATGACAGTCCTCATTGCTCTTAAGTTTAGGGCAGAATTCAAACTTTTTCCTGACTTTGGATGATATAGGTCAAGTCTGCATTGAGGTTACTTGCCACTAATTATCACAGATCAGCCTTTTGTGGCATGTAGTTGCTTCAGGACTGATCTAAATCTGTACCAAACTAAGTGGTCAGTGTATTGTTGAAGGTTTCATGGCTGGATTCACTGGATTGTTGTAGGTTTTCCAGGCTGTATGGCCATGTTCTAGAAGCATTCTCTCCTGACGTTTCACCCGCATCTAGGGCAGGCATCCCCAGAGATTGTGAATTCTCACTACCTCTGAGGATGCCTGCCCTAGATGCGGGTGAAACATCAAGAGAGAATGCTTCTAGAATATGGCCATACAGCCCGAAAAACCTACAACAACTAAGTGGTCAGTGTAGACCAGTGGTTCCCAACCTGTGGGTCCCCAGGTGTTTTGACCTACAACCAGAATTCTCAGCCAGTTTATCAAATGTTAAAATTTCTGGGAGTTGAAGGCCAAAACTTCTGGGGATCCATAGGTTGAGAACCACTGGTGTAGATGGACACATGGCTTTATATGATAAAACATGTAAATACATTGCCCAGCAAACACATAACAAAAACTATAACTGTACAGTAGATGAAGTAGCAAATTATTAGTATCAATGCTGTGACTCATTTTTGGTTTGGTTTTTTTTGTATGAGGAGGGAAGACATCTAAATGTTTGATGAAGAGTTTTTGAGAATGGATAGTGGGGTTGTTGTGACAAGTAATGTTGATAGGGAACATACCTAGGTTTGCATTTTATGTTGCATCCTCAACTGTATTTCCAGTTTTTATTCTTGCAGTCAATGAGAAAGGAAAGCTATGTTTTATTTATGTTTTTTTCAGGGACCTGTGGGACCACCAGGAGACAAAGGGCCTTCGGTACAGTATGTCTTTCTGATTATATGCAGGTAGTGATAGGATTATGGAAATGAAAGAAGGCTTTGTAATATCCCATAAGTTTCCTTTTTGCAGGGTATTATATTATATTGCATTGTATTGTACCATATTACTTTATTCCTCAGATCTGGGGGAAAGACTTAAAAGATTTAAAAAATTAAAATAAAAACATATACCTAAAATATACTCCAAGTAATGTTTAAAACAGCATTAAATGGCCTATGGGATTGAACCAATTCAAAGCATTCACTTAAAAGTAAATGATAAAAGTAGAACAGCTCATTAGAGAAAAAAAAACTTTTTTTCTGGTAAAACAGTATGTTCCCTGATTACAATGATGGTAAGATAAGTTTTATCAGATGTACATTTTTAAAAATTATTTTAGTTTAATGCATTCTAATATCCATACAAACTATAGAACACCAAGTTTTACATAACACCTACTAAGACAACACAACACAAGCACATTAAGCATCATGATTTCCCACTTTACCCAACAAAATTAACATATTACTATACAAGTTAACACATTACTATACCTCTTAAATTGAAGACATCAATGAAAATAGTAATCACTTCCTTATTTGTGCATGGTATACATTAACAGTCTAGCTATTTTTTTCTTTACAGAAGACTTTAGTATTCAAGGTATAATATCAGATGTACCTTTTTGGGCATAAATGGATAATTCAGTTCTGAAGGTAGTGCAGAAATATTGGCTTTGTCATTCTAATATCTCTCAGCCCTGTGATGTGAATCCAGTAAATCCCATTAAGACTAAAACCACTGAATTAAATGATGAATGGCATCACATTCAACAGTCATGTCAGTGAATATATTCTCCTTGGGACCAATAAATAATTTTACACCACCACTTTTTCAGAGTGTTTATGAGATATCTGAGACAGCAAAAAATAGAGATAGTTCTATACCAGGCAGGAGAATAATACAGATTGAGGCTTCTGTTCTGAAGAGACGCAACTTGGTGTGAATTACTGCAAAAATCAAACGTGTCATGAAAATAGAAACAACAGAACTTCATAACTTATTTCCCTCTTTGATCAGGGTCCCCGAGGTTTGCCAGGCATCCAAGGCCCACCTGGACCATCTGGCCAAGATGTAAGTAAGAGGAATGGTATATGGTAAGATTTCAGGATGGTAATGCACTATGGGTCAGCCATCAGTCCAGGTACAAAATCATGCATCTATTTTTCTTTCTCATTCACATACTAAAGTTAACAGGAAAATGACACTATCAATAGCCAAAACAAGATAAATCAAAACTTTGTAATAAGTTTGCCTTAGGGTCACTATAGGGCAGAAATATCAGCATGAACAAGTATGCTCCAGGTTCAGCTATATGTATTGTATATACTCATGGATAAGTTTTGAAATTTTAGCCAGAAAACTTGATCCCAAAAATCTTCGTCGACTTATCCAACTGTGTGTGTTTGGAAGTGCTGTCCTTTAATTCCTGAGTAGAGTGGCAAAAAAATGAGAGTTTCGTCCATCCCAGAAGAGCCTAAGAGAAGTACCAACCTCCTCTACTCTTTCATCTGTTCTCTGCTGTGCTCTCTTCACCATGGGGCCATTTCTGGCTTTTTTGAATGCCTAGGTAGATAAATGGTGTTGTTAGTGGATCTTTGATGTTCCCGTGCACCAAAGAAATTCAGAGAGTAGAAGGGGTCGTGCTTCTTTTAGGTTAGTTTCTCCTAGGACAGGCGTATCTCTTGCCTTTCACCATTCCACTCAGAGAAAGGAGTAGTTCCTTTAATTTGATAAAATGTATTGTCGAAGGCTTTCATGGTTGGAATCACTAGGTTCTTGTGGGTTTTTTCGGGCTATAGGGCCATGTTCTAGAGGCATTTCTCCTGACGTTTCTCCTGCATCTATGGCAAACATCCTTGTCACTACCTCTGAGGATGCTTGCCATAGATGCAGGCGAAACATCAGGAGAAATGCCTCTAGAACATGGCCCTATAGCCCGAAAAAACCCACAAGAACCTAATTTGATAAAAGTTAATCCTGGACCTTAACTTTCATCAAAAAGGACACCATCCTCTACTCTCAGTGGAGTAGCAAAGGGGGAAAGTAGCAAAGGGGAAAAGAGAGCAATGTCTCCCTTGAGGTAGTGGTAGCATTTTCCTTTATGTGCAGAATGATTTTAATCTTACCCATGGTCATAATTTCAATCCTGGACATGTACTTGCAACATATATATACCTAAGTTCTGCTTATACCTGAGTATATGCAGTAGTTTCAAATCCCACTTGAAATCTTAATACTCCGTTGCAGAAAGATCTATCTCATTTGTGGTTGCTCAAAAACATTTGGAAGAAAAATGAATACACACAACCCTATTCCTGTCCTCATTTTTTATTGTCCAGAAGCTCAGGCAATTGTCTGAACAGGGCTCATATTCCCTGTGGGGCTCTGGTAAGTGTGGTTATCAATATTGTCCTCCACAAAGAAAAAAAGCTGTTCCTATTTTATCATCGCCTCTTACATGTCTGGGGCAGCTTCATGCTGCTGAGCTGCTATCTGGTTTGTCCCAAGGGAGCAATTTCAAGGTAATCTTTTCATGCACACCTCATTTCCCCAGTGCTCTCCATCAACAAACTCACAGCTTCCTAGAAACTATTCCCCAGCGAACCTTCAATCTTTTTCTTCTCTGTTGATGGGGATGAGGAAAAATAGGAGCACATTAAAGGGAAATGTAAATAAATGTGTTCTTGTTTTCCCTTCCTCATCCAATCTAGCTGGGCTCAGCTAGCTTTCAAAGAGAAGACAATGAAATAGTCATCAAGTACAGAAAGAAAAATGAAGAATCCATTGTGTGCGGGTTACAAAAATGGAGTGGTACATAATGTCTTTGGTACTTTTATGTTAAGTAGAGAAGTCCAGTAAAGACCTTCAAGACTTGATTGGCCAGGCCTTGGGGCTGATGTCTGATTTCCTTCTATGAATTATTTTTTTAATATTAATTAAAGCTCTGTTAAGAGAAGTCAGATGCAAAATAATGGTTTGGAAAAAATGTCTTCAGCATAGTGTGCATCTACACCAGTCGTTCCCAACCTTTTATTTATTTATTTACTAGCTTGGGGACCTGGCGCTGCCCGGGTTATTTGAGAAAGGAATTGTGTATCAAGGTTGGTCTTTATCAGTTATTTATATGGCTCGCAGTGGTCTCAGGAAGTTAGTGAAGGTACTGAGTCCCGTCGTCTGTGGTCCATCCTCCTCCAAAATGCTCCAGAATGGAGAGTGGGTCGTGGGGGCTCTGTGCACCAAGTTTTGTTCTTGATCATTCATTGGATGAGGGTCACAGTGGTCTCAGAAAGTGAGTTTAGGTACTGCAAGTCCCATCATCCATAGTCTGTTCTCCCCCAAACCTCACCAGAATATTGAGTTAGCCAAGGGGGCTCTCTGTGCCAAGTTTGGTCTTTCTTGGTATTTGGATAAGTGTCGCTGTGGTTTCAGGAAGTGAGTGAAGGTACTGGAAGTCCCATCATCCATCGTCCGTCCTCCTCCAAACAGCATCTGGATGTAGAGTGGGTCATGGGGGCTCTGTGTGCCAAGTTTGGTCTTGATCGGACATTAGATGAGGGTTGCAGCAGTCTTGGGAAGGGAGTGGAGGTACTTGAAGTCCCATCATCCATGGTCTGTCCTCCTCGAAAGTGCACCAGGATGTAGAGTGGGTCATGAGGACTCTGTGGCCAAGTTTGGTCTTGATCAGTTATTGGAGAGGGTCTCAGTGGTCTCAGGAAGTGAGTGAAGTGACTGCAAGTCCCATCATCCATTGTCAAATTCTTCCAAACCACACCAGGGTGTAGAGTGGGTCATGCGGGCTCTCTGTGTAAATTGTGGTCCTGATCCATCATTTTTGGCAGTTGTAATGGTCTTAGGAAGGGAGTGCAGGTATTGCAAGTCCCATCGTCCATGGTGCATCCTCCCCCAAACTGCCCCAGGATGTAGAGTGTGTCATGGAGACTCAGTGTGCCAAGTTTGATCTTTATCAGTAATTGGATGAGGGTTGCAGTGGTCTCAAGAATTGAGCAAAGGTACTGCAAGTCCCATAATCCATGGTCCATCCCCCAAACCACACCAGGATGTAAAGTGGGTCATGAGAGGTCTATGTGCCAAGTTTGGTCCTGATCAGTCATTGGATGAGGTTAACAGCGGTCTCAGAATGTGAGTGATGGTACTGCAAGTCCCATCATCCATGGTTCATCCTCCTCCAAACTGCAGTAGGATGTCGAGTGGGTCATGGGGACTCTGTGTGTCAAGTCTGGTCTGTATTGGTAATTGTCTGACTCAGCCCCTGGCCTTTTCCTTTCCTCTCTTAGTCATCTCGGAATCTTGGAATTGAGGCTGGCCAATCAGAGACCATATGCAAATTTCCTTCTCATGTCCCCGTTTCTGCCATGAACTCTTTTCTCCACCAGGGGCTCCTATTGAAGCTGGCCAATCAGAGACCATATGCAAATAGCACCACTGCAGCAGCCAATCAAAACGCTGGCACATACTCCTCCCGCCACACTTTTGTCCTCCGCATACAAGTTTTGACTTTTATTATATACATAGATAGATTTGACCAGGGACCACTTTGACCAGGGAACACTCTCCAACATTAGTACCCTAAGGGTTACAAATTAGTTTTTGGTCAACTTTAGATTATGTTTGGTTATTTGAGGTGCTGATTCAGAAAATTGCATTGGATAGACCACATAGGCTCAAGTTTATATAACATATGCCATTTGTGATGACCATCTGCTCACCCACAGAAAACCATATTTAATAATCTAGTGCTGATGTGGTAGTAGTAATCTTTTTTGGGTAGTCAGCCTCTCCCCTCCCAACATCCCCATTGTCTCAGCACTATAAGAGGGTTTTGTAAGAACAGTAGCTTTCATTTCCATGTGGTTTCAAGGCAGTAATGGTGAGGCCATGGACCATATTTTCATTATTGCGGACCACTGGGGCAAAGTCTGGGTATAGCCCCAAAAAACCCCTCCAGGATACTCATCAAAAGCAGATGGAGATCACGAAGACAAGCAGCAGTCCATTTGTGATGATCCTGAGTTTTTGGCCCAGTGTAGGCAAGCCCTCCATTGATGATCTACCATGAAATAACTAGCCAGACATAGACATTTGGATTAAAAAGGGTCATTTATGGACCTAAAATCTGTTTAATTTAGTTACACCTGAGTAAAAAGAAAAGAAGAAGGGAACAATAGGTTCTAGGTCTAGCTGGGGTCAAGTGTCTGTTTGTGGCCTCTTCCTCAGCCTTCCTTGGGCAGAATGCCTGGATTTGAATGGCAATGGAATACTATGTGTTGCTCATGCCAGTCAGCCATTTTCTGGAAGTAGAACCTACGCCACTCTCTTCAAAGTCAAAGGACTCTGCAGATATAGCATAAAGTAGGTGAAAAGAGGGAAGGAAAATATCCTACCCGGACATGAAGCAGCTCACAAAGTTCACACTTCACCAAGACAGGTGTGTGGTTCACAAGCTAAGGAGAGGTTTTTCAGAGGGTAGACAACTCTTAAATCAGCCCTTTCTGTTTGTTTTCTCCCCCTTTTTGGCAGGGTTTACCAGGAAATCCAGGTGAACGAGGGCCTCCAGGAAAACCAGTAGGTCATCATGCTTGTTTACTCTCCTTTTTGATCTCAACAGATTTTCATGTCCATGGAGAATTAACATTTTTCTATTAATTAATTAATATATCAACAATGCTAAGCTAATGTTATGGCATAGATTTCTTTAAGATCCTTTCTCATGTTGCATTGGTGGTGCCATAGCTGCCTTTGAATAGAGAGTGCTGTAGCTGGTACACTATTCCTCAAAAGGCATTGAACTACATTGTGGCTAATCTGCTATCTGGACTTTTTATGCTATTGTCTTTAACTTCAGGTTCATTGAAACTACATTCCAGAAGTAATATGAAAATAATAGAATATTATTTTTCCTTCTTCCTTGCAGGGTGCATCACCCATTCTCTCACCTGGTGATATCAACCTCTTGGTTAAGGTAAGAATGGTCAACAGCCCCCAAATTCATAGAAAATCTGCTTGGCTCATCACAATATATATGGAACCCCCAGTGGCGCAGTGGATTAACCTCCTGTGCCAGTAGGACTGAAGACCGTCAGGTTGCAGATTCAAATCTGGGGAGAGTGTGGATGAGCTCTCTCTATCAGCTCCAGCTTCTCTTGTGGGGACATGAGAGAAGCCTCCCACAAGGAAGATAAAAACATCAAAAACATTTGGGCATCCCCTGGGCAACGTCCTTGCAGATGGCCAATTCTCAATTCTCCAGAAGCGACTTGAAGTTTCTCCTGTCGCTCCTGACACAACAAAAAAAATCAGACTATATAGATATTTTCAAACCTTTCACTGTACATAATTCACAAGGAAGATATCCTGGCATAACTATTTTAATATCTATTTACCTTTGTATTTCAATCATCCATCTAATACCAACTGTTCCAACTGTGAACCGCCTTGAGTCACCTCCGGGCTGAGAAAGGCAGTATACAAATATAGTTAATAAATAAAATAAATAATACCCCATTTTCCTCCGAACACAGCTTCTAAGATGGAAGGGAGACAAAATAAGGACATTCCACCAATAAGAATTCTGCCTCCCACTGAAACTTTCCTAGTTGCCTAGTCAAGGAATCCAAAGAAAAGGGGAAGGCACAGTTACACATTTGTTGTTGTCCATTACTCTCAAGTTAGCTTTGACCTATAGTCATTCCATGAATGAGGGACCTCCAAACACCCATCAAGAACCTGCCAATGGCTGTAACTTCATTGTATGCTTTATCCACCTGTAATTTGAACCTTCCCCTTTTTCACAACACAGTTATAGTGATATGACTCCATTCTATCATTGCAACATTCTGTAGAATCTTTGAGTTTACAATTAAATGAAAGGTATTTAAACTGCTACAGAGAAAGTGTGGGACAGTGGCTTGAGGATTGTTGTTGTTCATTCATTAAGTCATCTCCAACTCTTCGTGACCTCATGGACCAGCCCACGCCAGAGCTCCCTGTCGGTCGTCACCACCCCCAGCTCCTTCAAGGTCAGTCAAGTCACTTCAAGGATGCCATCCATCCATCTTGCCCTTGGTCGGCCCCTCTTCCTTTTGCCTTCCACTTTCCCCAGCATAATTGTCTTCTCCAGGCTTTGCTGTCTCCTCATGATGTGGCCAAAGTACTTCAACTTTGTCTCTAGTATCCTTCCCTCCAGTGAGCAGCTGGGCTTTATTTCCTGGAGGATGGACTGGTTGGATCTTCTCACAGTCCAAGGCACTCTCAGAACTTTCCTCCAATACCACAGCTCAAAAGCATCTATTTTCCTTCGCTCAGCCTTCCCTAAGGTCCATCTCTCACATCCGTAGGTTACTACAGGGAATATCATGGCTTTGACTATGCAGATCTTTGTTGCCAGTGTGATGTCTCTACTCTTTACTTGAGATATCACACTCTACTCTTTACTTGAGGATTAGGATCCTGGAAATACAGGGTTTGAACCATGAAAACTCACTGGATGATCTTGGGAATGTCAACATTTTAAAGCCTCAGAGGAAGGTAATAGCAAACTTTCAGACATGTCTGTAGGATTTAGAAACTATGTGAATAAATGAAGTTCAAAATCCCACAGACATAGCTGAAACTCCCCTGTTCTGTGCTCTAAATTTCTAATGTTCAAAGATGCTTTGGATGTTTCTCTCGTCTATCGGCTCCTAATAGACTGTATTGTGATCTAGAAATTCTCTCAATATCAGAGAAGCCTACAAAATCTCTCAAATGTAACAAAACTATTGATGTGTTTTGGAACTGGGAAGCAAACAAATGTGTGAAAAGGGGTGAAGGCTTCCGTGCTTCTCCTCTTTGCATATTTATTTCAGAACATCTGAACAAGGTTATAAGCAGAAAAGTAATCACATTTCTATTCTTCTCAGACAGCATTGGATGTGAAGAATGTTTGTTATGGGAGATTTGGATTCAAATCTTTGCTTAGATACAGTTTTATCCAGCAGTCTGTACAGGTCAACTTGGGATAACTCTATGAAGAGTTTAATGATCCATATCCATTTTTTCAGATGACTCACAGAAGTACATGTCAGATTGATTTGATCCTGTTTCAAAATTTAAAACTGATGGATTAAGACTCAATTGGCAAATAAGCCTATGACTTCAAGCAAAATTTACTTTTTTTATTTCCTTTTCAACTCAGGCTATAAAATGAGGTTGCTGTCCTGCAGTGCTGACTGATCTTTGCAAATTACTCAGAGGGTGGTGTTAGGAGGCCATGATGGAGATACTTGTTATTTTGCAGATTTAATTCCTCACTCTGTGGGGATTTTGAACTACATACATCTCATTAGGGTGCTAAGTGGAAAGACATTTCTCTGGACCATAGCCTAACCTTAAGCTTAATATTTTAATAGCCTTTGTAGGGGCCTAAATACCCTGAGGACACCACATACTACCAGAAAACTGAGCAGAATCAGGCACCATTAGTGCAGCAATGGTTAGTTATGGCTCTCTAGTGGTGTAGCAGATTAAACTGCTGAGCTGCTGCACTTCCTGACCAAAAGGTTGGCAGTTTGAATCTGGGGAGTGGGGTGAGCTCCCCCAGTTAGGCTCAGATTCTGCCAACCTAACATTTTGAAAACATGCAAATGTGAGTAGATCAATAGGTACTACTTCTGCAGGAAGGTAACGGCATGCCATGCAGTCATGCCAGCCACATGATCTTGGAGCTGGCTATGGACAGTACTAGCTCTTCGACTTGGAAATGGAGATGAGCACCAACCCTCAGAATCAGACACAACTAGACTTAATGTCATAGAATCATAGAATCAAAGAGTTGGAAGAGACCTCATGGGCCATCCAGTCCAACCCCCGCCAAGAAACAGGAATATTGCATTCAAATCACCCCTGACAGATGGCCATCCAGCCTCTGTTTAAAAGCTTCCAAAGAAGGAACCTCCACCACACTCTGGGGCAGAGAGTTCCACTGCTGAATGGCTCTCACAGTCAGGAAGTTCTTCCTCGTGTTCAGATGGAATCTCCTTTTTTGTAGTTTGAAGCCATTGTTCCATTGCGTCCTAGTCTCCAGGGAAGCAGAAAACAAGCTTGCTCCCTCCTCCCTGTGGCTTCCTCTCACATATTTATACATGGCTATCATATCTCCTCTGGTGCCCAGAATTGGACACAATATTCCAGGTGTGGTCTAACCAAAGCAGAATAGAGGGGTAGCATTACTTGTCAGAAGAAACCTTTACATTTTAGTGCAGCAATGGGAGATCACTGAGGAATATGAGGTGCTATAGGTTATAAATCAAAGGACTGAACTGAAAAATTACCTGTAAGCATTCCTTCCCTAAGAAAACCCTATTAAATGCAGGGGGTCATCATAAGTCAAGAAGTAACTTAAAAGTATGTACATGCAATGGCCCTGAAGGAAATTTGGGAAGCTACAGTTCTGAGGAAGATAGATTGGCTTCTCTATCAGAATTCTAAGCATTCCCAGCAATTCCCCATGATAGATTCCAAAACTTCAACAAGTGATTTAGAATAACACCAATATATATTCATAAGTTATATTGCTAGTAAAAACTAAAAAAAGAAGAAAAGAACTATTTATGATACCACATACTGTGGAAATTTCATGATATAAATATTAAAACTAGTGTAGGAATACTTTTTTCACAACTATCCTTATATACAGAAAAAGTATCCCGCCTCAATCCCCTGGCAAAAAAAGCCCACTGTGTGAAATTGCAATAGTATCTTTGCATATTCAATGATTTTGTTTTACATTTTGAGAGGCGTTTCTTGTTTTTGCAAAAAATCATTTGTCCTCAAATGACATTTTTGCAAAATGACATTTTAAAAAGGTTTTTTTTCCTGACAGAAATTCTATGTTTTATTAATAAGGCCCCAAAAGATGAAAAATATCCTAGTTGCTGCCCAACTTTTTTCCCATGAGCATTTCTCCAGATATTAAAACATCATCTCTTGTCAAAGAGGAGAACATTTGTAAACATTCTATATAGCCCTACAAGGCACTAGCTTGAAAAAGATATCTGAATGTCATACCAATGAAATGATGGCTCTGTTCTTCCTAGGATGTTTGCAGTGACTGTCCCCCTGGACCTCCTGGACTTCCTGGAATGATCGGATTCAAGGGCGATCGAGGGCCCCCAGGACCACCTGGTAGTGAAGGTCCAGTTGGAAAGATGGTAAGAATTAGAAAGAGAACACTCACAATGTTAATTAAGATTGGCTTTGACTTGGGGCACAGTACCTACAATTGGAGCTGAATTCATTCAAATTAATGTATTCCCTCAAAGGGCCATCCAAGGGTGATCAAGGGCCCTCAGGACCACCTGGTAGTGGTGGTTGACCACATATCTTTTTTTCTGCTTCCTCCATCTAGAGCAGTGTTTCTCAACTTGGGGGTCGGGACCCCTGGGTGGATCGTGAGGGGGTGTCAAAGGGGTCGCCAAAGACCATCAGAAAACACAGTATTTTTTGTTTGTCATGGGGGTTCTGTATGTGAAGTTTGGCCCAATTCTATCATTGGTGGGGTTCAGAATGCACTTTGATTGGAGGTGAATTATAAATCCCAGGAATTACAACTCTCAAATGTCAAGTCTCTTTCCCCCAAACTCCAGTAGTGTTCACATTATTGAGCATTCATGCCAATTTTGATCCAGATCCATCATTGCTTGAGTCCACAGTGTTCTTTGGATGTATGTGTACTAGAACTCCAAAACTCAAGGTTAATGTCCACCAAACCCTTCCAGTATTTTCTCTTGGTCATGGGAGCTCTGTGTGCCAAGTTTGGTTCAACTCTATTGTTTGCAGAGTTCAGAATGCTCTTTGTTCAGAATCCCAGCAACTACAACTCCCAAATGACAAAATAACCCACCCACCTACCCCCAATATTCAAATTTGTGTCAAATTTGGTCCTGGGAATGAAAATACATTCCGCATATTGGATATTAATATTACGATTCATAACAGTAGCAAAATTACAGTTATGACGTAGCAACAAAAATGTTTTGGTTTGGGTCACCACAACATGAGGAACTGTATTATGGGGTTGGGGCCGCAGCATAAGGAAGGTTAAGAACCACTGATCTAGAGTGTTGCCCCTATGATGCACTTTCCCCCATCATAAACCGAAAGCCTACCCTACTGTTTATTCTTTTTGGGTTCTCCTCAATTACATATTTTCTTTCTTACCTCATCCAGGGTTTTATCATTTTTACCTCCTTCATTTGGCCTGCCCATTCTGTTTGATTTTATATTGTATTAATTTGTTTTATTTATTTTATTTTGCTATTGTACGTATTTTATTTTGATGTATTTTTTTTGTTGTCTGCATTCTGTATTTTATTTTGTTGTATTGTATCTTTGGGCTTGGCCTCACGTTAGCTGCCCCGAGTCCCCTTTGGGGAGATGGTGGCAGGGTATAAATAAAGTTCATTATTATTTATTATTATATCCAGCCCGGCCCTTTTAGGCCACACAGGAATAGAAAGTCTATGTTGGCGGACATCTCCTCTTCCGGGCATTCCACCAGTTCAGCCGTTATCTTGCAGATTATTTCTTTCAAGTTTTCGCTGGTTTCTTCCTCTATATTTCTAAATCTGAGTTGGTATTCTGATTCCTTCACTTCTAGTTTTTCCTGCCTTGCTTCTAGTTTACTACTCATACTTTCCAGTTTATCTAGTCTTGCCTTCAGATTGTCCTGCGATTGTTCTAATTTCTTTTTGTCCAGTTTAATTTCATTTACACCTTGTTGGAGTGAGTTTAGGTTTTTCTTCATGCCACTCAATTCTCCTAGGAGCTCTTCTTTCATTTCTAACATTTTTTCCTGGAATGCTTTTTGTATCCTTGTCCCTAGATCAACAGAAAATAAGACTGCTCCAAATCCAACATGACATCCTTTCAATTTTAAAACTATAATGTCTCCTTTCAAACTTGTCTTCTTCAAGCTTAACATGCCTAGGCCTTAAGCTGTTTATTTTAGGGTGTGGTTTCAAGATCTTTTACCATTTCTTACACTGTTAAATAATTAATTTTAAAATGATTATTTTAGTCAATAAATTTCAATTATTTTATGCCCATTATTTGTTGTGCTTCAAGGGGAATTGAGTCTAGTCCAACAAAGACACAATATATTGTACAGTTGCAAAAGAAAAAAAACAGAAAACTTTATTCTTTTCAGCAGAGTCAAACATAAACTTGCAGAGCTATACCAAATACAAATTTTATGGTCTAACAAACTTACATAGTCCTTGTATGCCTTGCAAAACCCAAAAATCATCTTATCGTCTTCTTCTGCCAAAGCAGGTGAAGCGGCAACTCCCCCAGTGGCCAGAATACCCTCATGAAGCCGGAAAGCTGGAACATTAAATTTCCTCTGTGTCTGTCTATATATCTGTTGTATGTCTATGGCATTGAATGTTTTCTCCGTATATGTGCATTTTAATCTGCCCTGAGTCCCCTGCGGGGTGAGAAGGGCAGAATATAAATACTATAAACAAATAAAGGAGAGAGAAGCAAAAGCAAAAGTGAAACCAAAAGCAGGAGCAGGAGCTAACACAGCCACTCCTCACTGGGTGTGGTCCAAATTTAATTGCTTAGCTGCCGACCTAGATTAGTTCCTGCATGTTATGATCAACAGTATAGGTTTTACTTCAACACATACAACCTTGGTGTTGGTCTTCAGTATCCCCTAACATTATTTATCCCATCCCACATATTTTTGATTCCCTCTGAAACAGACACAGTCTGTGATGCTTGGACTTGGTGGCCCCAAGACTATTGAGAAAAGCTGGGGAAAATATTTCAAGTATTTTGACTAGGCTTTTATTGTCTACTTGATTTCATCCTAATCTTCACATGCTTTATAGTTTCAAGTGGATGTAAACTGTTTTATCTAATTTTAATTATTCTAACTCAATATATGTAGAGCACTTTCCCTGGCTCTACTTAGGATTCATTGCACTTGGCAATTATTAACTGAACCCAGCACTTTATTTGCTCAGCCATGATATTGCTTTTAATTGTTTTTATAATGTCTGATTTTATGTTTATTGATATTTGATAATGTTTGTTTTTTATGCTTATTTTAACCTGTTTCATTGGGCATGTTCCTATGTAAGCCGCCCTGAGTCCCTTTGGGGAGATGGAGGCAGGGTATAAAAATAAAGTTACTACTATTATTATAAGATTTCTGGGAAAAGCTAGCACAAAATGTTTCAACCTTTTGATAAATTAACATGCCATTTCACAGTAATTAAGTAGCATAGCTGAGGGAAGACTCACTGAGAGACTAATTGGTTCTCTAAGTTATGAATTTTATTTAGGTGTTAATTTAGAAATGAACGTCCTTCTTGTTGTTTTGTCTTTCAGGGGGAGATTGGTCCCAGAGGTCACCATGGACCACCTGGAATGGAAGGTCCCAAGGTACATTCTCTTTTTGTGACTTCAGACTTTTTAATTCATTGAAAGAAGTAAGATACTAAAGTCAAATCTCTGCCAAACCAAAGTGGAAATTTCTTTGTGCCAATGGAAAAGGCAAAACCTAAGGAGCAAAGAGCTACATATATTGTACTAAGACGTGCATTTTGAATTACAGTTCTCCTCACTGAGTCTAATATGTAGGAGATGGAGAGCTATTGTAAGAGGTTTAATAATGGTTTAATATAGAAACCATTACAATGTATTTCGTCAATCCAAAGCAAATTATAAAGCTAGTGATTGATATGGGACTGAGTCTGGTATGGAGATTTTTCTCGCCATTTTAAGAATTCTCCAGTTAGGGCTAAACGAGTGAGAGTCAATCATGACTAAGACTAGCTTCTCAGTTCCCATCATAGTTGAGACCTCACTGGTTCACAAGTTAGAGCTGTTCCATACTGCATGTTTTCTGATTCTGCTGCTCTGTTTGTAAGAGTAAGAAGTTGTATCTAACATCTAGCATGAAATTCATGATCTTGCCATGAACCTGGTGAGACTTCTGCCTATAAACACTTGTGAATATTTTCCTGAACTGAACTCATAGTTATGGTTGTGACATTCAATACACAAAACAGCTAGTGATATTGATACATGAGGTATCATCTCTCCCTATATATCTCTCTGAAAGTACATATCTTTAAGGTAAGTCCTCCTCTGTGTTCCATTAGAGGAGGGAAAGACATTATCATGGGAGGACACAGAAGAAGGCCTTCTCAGCTACAGCATCTGGATTGTGGGTATCCTCTAAGAAGTCTGCTTGGGGGCAATACTGGTATCATTCCAAGACCAAATTGGTAATAACATTGGTTTTGATTAAAACAGTTGGATTTCATCCGAAGTTGTGCATGCATTGTGAATTTGAATTGATTTAAACTGTCTCAACTGATTTCAATCATTTTGTTTAAGCTCATCAAGTTTCAAAATGTAGTTTTAGCCCCTTTAAAAAGTTTTAATAGGTTTTTATATTGTTTTAATTAGTATGTAATTATTTTGTTCACTGGGATAATAGGAAGTAGGGTATCATTGAAATATTTTAATAATTAAATATCCCAGAGAGAAAACTAAACATGCATGTTTCTTCCTCCTTGGAAAGATAATGTATTCATTTTTATTCAGTAGGGTAGAGAATATGCTTTACCTGAAGAAACCTAACTTGGGCTACATCTACATTGTAAATTAATGAAGCCTGACACCACTTTAACTTCAGTGGTTCAATGCTATAGAATCATGGGGTGTGTCATTTGATGAGACTCTTTTGCAAGGAAGGTGAAATACCCCCAAAACAGTGGCTCTCAATCTACGTGTCCCCAGATGCTTTGGCCTTCAATTCCCAGAAATCCTAATAGCTAGTAAACTGGCTGGGAACCACTGTCCTAAAACCTACAGCTTCTAGTATGCAATAGCATTTTCAATGGCAATAAAGAAATATCAAACTGCATTAATTCTTGAGTGTAAGTGCAGCCCAGACAACAAAAATAAAAATAAACCAGTTACCAACATGCCTTTTCTGGTTGAACCAAAACCTTCCATTAGAGAAAGAAGAGTGTCCTTCTTTGCACATTTGAGGATAGACATGTATTAGCTTCCATCTCTTTAGAAAACCAGTGAAAGTATGGTGTGATGGTTATAACAAATACATACAGCTGTGTGTTTGAGGAATGATACTTGAATGGCATTTTTCTTCTTCTTAGGGTCCTAAAGGGGACCGTGGGTCATCTGGTGAGATTGGTCCAAAGGGTGAGCAGGTAAGAGAAAGTGCAGAAGAGCCACGTCTCTTTCTCCTGTGTGGATCAAAACATACATTTGTAGTATTTGGACTCTAACATTTACATGCAATGACAATATTCATTTGCCCAGCAATGATTCTCTCTATGTTGTCAGTAGGAAATGACAAACTGGATTATATTTGCTTCCCCTCTTTAAGGCAAATAGTGGTGTGACATGCTGGAAGAGCATTTGCACATAAGTAATTATTAGCCTTTCACACCCAGCCAACATTTTAATGTCTCCTGATGAGGTTTGATTGCTGGAAGCTAATAAAGTATTGTATTAGCTTGAATGAGATGGCAAAAACTTTATTGAAACACAAAGAAAAACTTAAAACACTGCTAAACGCCTTCCTGCTAAAAGAATAAAATATATTATCTTCTGTTCTCTGCTTCCCCAGAGCATAGGGCCAGGTCTGTTTGAAGGTACAGGAAAGTTGAGTTGAACTGAGCATTGATAGAGTAGTTCAGCAATGCAACCAATTGTCTAGAGGGGTGACGGGGTCTCCTTCATTGGAGGCCTTCTGAAAGAGGTGAGAGATGCAGATCCTGCATTGAATATGGAGTTGGACTAGTTAGCCCATGAGGGACTTTCCAACTCTATGATTCTATTACTCTATAGTAAAGAGTCAATGTTTAGTATGAGTCAGAGGAATAACCTTGACCATTATTTACTACAAATTGGGTGTGAGAATGGAGAATGAAATCCTATGGAATTTATTCAGAAAATGGTTGAATTGAGTTGAACTCTGGCTTGGGGTTCTATCACACAACACTGTTATGGTTGACTATATTTGACTTTAACTATCACAACAATATCATTTGGTAGCCTTGGATTGGCAGTTTAGGAGGGAAATTTTAGAAATCTCAAGAAGAGAGCTCTTGGGACACCCTAATACAATTCCATACATTGTGCAGGTTGGTTCATGGCAGTTAAAGTAGATTATAATGTTATAACAGTGTGATGTGAGAGTAACAGGTAATATCAAAATGGTTAGTTTGAATATGTTTGGTACTAACTGTTGCAACTCAGAGTAAGCTTCACCTTGCTTCCAAACACCACCACAGAAGAGCTGTAGTTTTATAGTTTATTGAGGAAAAAATCCAAGTCAAAATAAAGAATAAGCATTGCAAAGTTCCAAAGATTTAGGTTAAATGCAGAATATAGTTCCAAAGATCTTCAGGTAAAAACAAAAGGCACAATCCTATTGGCAAAGTTCAAACCAGAGTCCAAAGTACAAGCAATGAAACAATTGCCCCATGAATCACAATGCAAGAAATCCCAAGCGTACAGCTTTCCAGGCTAAGGTTATTCCACGAAGCTTTCAGGCTAACAGGCTTGAACTGACGCTTTCCCTTAGTTTGCAAGAAGCCTAAATACCTTTCTAACATGAAAACATTACATGAAAGCATTGCAATGACCTTTTCCCAAGCTGGCTTCTCGTCTGCTGGCCAGGCAAGAACTCCGCCTGACCCGCAAATCAAGACGGGCTTGCCAGGTCAGGTCACTATCAAGGCTTTCAGTACTTTCAGTATCAGCATGGGAAGGAGGCAAATGCCTCCCCACCTGTTCGCTATCTCCTTCTTTAAAATTCTTTTCTCCTGAGAACTGCTGTGTTGACTCTGCGCTGTCTGACTCTGTACTCTCTGTGGGAGCCGCAGGCCCAGAGATCTGAGGCACAGAAAAAGAGCCAGGAATCTGAATCCCATCATCCTCTTCATCACAACATCTCAGCCACAACACTAACTTTGAGTCAGAAAGGCCAAGAAATAAATATTTATAAAAGTATAAAGCTGGATGAGTAATTTCCAATAGTTTGTTTTTTTTCCTTTAGTCATTTTGACTGGAATTAGATCTGATATTTCATTCTCTCTATTTAAACACCTTCTTAGACCCCTTCTACACTGCCCTGTATCCCAGGATCTGATCCCAGATTATCTTTTTATCCCAGATTATCTGGCAGTGGACACTCATATGATCCAGTTCAAAGCAGATAACCTGGGATCCAATCTTGGCATATAAAGACAGTGTAGAAGGGGTCTTAGAAGAAATGTTTTGTGTTTGATAAAAGGGAAGGTCTGCCATGTGTGGGTTCCTTGAGCCGTAATATAATATATTGGTCTCACAGTACTGTCACCATTTCTGTGGTTATATGGTTACTCTTTATAAAGATGTTGTCTGCTTCTTTTGCAAAATAAAAACTCAGAAAGGAACAAACCAAAAGAGGGTTATTGCTGTCAAAGATATCTTAATTATAATTAAATTATAATTCATTCATTAAGAGCCTCAGGGAAAAGCTTGAAATGCTGAAAGGTTTCTTATTTAACAAAGGAATTTGCTACAACAAACATGTTGATGTTCTGAAAATCAATGTACAGAATGATGCTGCCAAGAAAGCTTATCTTTTCATAGCTAGCTCGCTTTCCAAATTAGCTAACTTCGGTGAGACATTCTTTTTTTTGTACATAAAATAAATAAGAATCTAAAGTCTCTTGTTATCTGTCTTCTTTAGGGCCATCCTGGAATACCAGGCTTCGTGGGTCCACCTGGAACCTCAGGTCCTCCTGTAAGCTCTCCTGTTACATTCATGAGCTGTTATTTGTCATTCTGACAGTATATTTATGAAAGAAATCCTCTAATACCTTTAACTAAATAGACTAAAGTCCTAATTGCTGTAAAATTGTCAGAATGTATGGTTCTGCATTTGTTCCCGATACTTTATTCAGCTTCATGATTTCAAACTTTGAACTGCTTTGCTTGCTTATATATTGACTTTTTCAAACAGATTAAAAAAGTGGGTTGCTGTGAGTTTTCCAGGCTGTATGGCCATATTCCAGAAGTATTCTCTCCTGACATTTCACCCACATCTACAACAGGCATGCTCAGAGGTTGTGAGGTCTGTTGGAAACAAAGCAAGTGAGGTTTACATATCTGTGGAATAATGTCCGGGGCAGGAGAAAGAACTCTTGTCTGCTTGAGGCAAGTGTGAATGTTGCAATTGGCCACCTTGATTAGCATTGAATTTCCTTGCAGCCTCAAAGCCTGGCTGCTTCCTGTCTGGGAGCTGCAAGGCCATTCAATGCTAATCAAGACGGCCAATTGCAACATTCTCATTTGTTTCAAACAGACAAGAGCTCTTTCTCCCACCCTGGACATTCCACAGATATATCAACCTCACTTGCCTAGTTTCCAATGTCAGGAGATAATACTTCTGGAGCATGGCCATACAATCTAGAAAACTCATAACAATCCAGTGATTCTGGCCTTAAAGCCTCCAACAAAACAAACGAATAGCACACATTAAGAAAACATGTTTGCCGCACCACCCCTGCAAATGAAGAGGCCACACACATGAATTGGGTTAACTAAGGGCAATTTTTATTATTGTTAACTAATGAGAAATCACTAATTCCACCCCCACTATAATAACTGAGCACAATCTCCCTTAGCCATGAACTTGGTTGTGAACTTGGCCCTGAACTTGGAGAAGGTAATTCTGTTCCCAGAACTATTACTGTCATACTTCTAATTCCCAGGCCATTCTAATTCACTCAGCCCTCTTTTATTTACATCATAGGGCAGGTTACAGTTGCTGCCCTATCAACAATGGGCACCTTGGCTATGCACCAGATTCAATTCCCCTACTGCTTCTTGGTATGCTTATTTTGGCCCTCCAGGGACTGAGGAGAGTGGTGAGCCTGCCGTGGCTCCACCCCCTCCATAGAGGGACTTATTTTGGAAAGCCTCTTGGGCAGCGGTGGTGGCAAAAACCTCCCTCACCTCAGCTCCGAAGGGGTGAGAAAACACCTTTTTGATGAGACAATTTTGGATGGAAAAGAAAATTCACAGTTTGTGATTTTCTGTGTACAACATTTGCTAGTGGATTTTGTATATTCACAGAAAACTGTTTTTGCATATAAAATATTTATGTTACATGATATTCTTTTCTGCACATAAACTCAGCACAAGAGAAAAAAAGAGAATGCATGCAAATTGTGCATGCTCAAAGTCGCAAATTGTGGATAGTCTTCAAAAACGTAACAGTTTTTGATGGCTTTCTTCAGTGCGATGAAAATTGCTATAATTACTCGGTACCTCTTTCAAGAATAAAAAGGAATCCATGATAGATCAGCAAGAAGAAGAACAAATTATCATGAAGATGTTTTGGAATAGTTTTGCTTGACTGATCTGTGGGAATGCATGGTGCCAAAAACAATCCCTTTAACACTCAGCCTTGGTGATCAAGTATGAAAGGCCTATTGCTAGAGGACTGACCTCATTTTGAGAATCTTGCCCCCAAATCCCTTCTAGTGTCATAGAAGCTGCTGCTCAGACTTCAGTTGTGTATCTAATTAAATTTCTCATTGTGACAGACTGTCCAAATTTGTTAGGTTGATCCCATTTAAAAGAATCATAGCAGTGACTTGAAAATTTTATATTTGTGTCATTGGAGAAACAGGTCTGTGAATCTCCAGCTCCCAAGTGGGATAATTCCAGTTTGGGAAATATAATAATTTTTGATAATGGCTACCATTCCATTCTTTCCCTTCATCAAGCAGCAAAAGAATGTTTTTTGAGGATTTGCCTAATTGTTTCATTTCTATTTATGGAGAGTGTTTCCCCCCTAAATATGTCTGTATTGTATCAAAGTACTTCTAAACAGACAATTCCTTTCAATTCCTTTCCACAAATGCTCGAGTCTTTTTACATACAGTGGTGTAGCTAAATTGTGTCCTTACATAAAATGGCAAAATCAAGTTTTGGTTTCGGGTATTTTTAAGATATGTTTTCAAACTGCAGATTGTTGAATGTATAGATACATAATCTATGAATACAGAGGGTTAGCTAGATTGTACTTACTTGACATCACCAGAGGCTCTCTTTTGTAGTATCATCTTTGTAATATCTGGGAATATAGCCTCAATAAATACAGGGTCTTATTGAGGCTATATTTCCAGATGTGACACACTTACAGGAAACTGCAGATATTTGGAGCACCACTAAAACAACAACAACAACAACAACAACAACAACGCTTTATTTGTATTCTGTCCTGTCTCCCTGAGGAGACTCAGAGCAGATTCCAGCAGATATAGATATAGATATAGATATATAGACACAGGCAAACATTCAATGCCTTTGAAACACAATGAAACACAAATACACAGACAAAAGCCAAATGCTACCCCTTTCATCTCCGGTTTTGGAGGTGGTGCTCATCTCTGGCTGTTACTGCTAAGGTGGTACTTCTTGATCTACTCACATCTGTATGTTTTCGAATTGCTAGGTTGGCAGTGGCTGGGGCTAACAGCAGGAGTTCACCTTGTCTTGTGGATTCAAACTGCCAGCCTTTGGTCAGCAAGCCCAGCAGCTCAATTAACCCATTGTGCCACCATAGCCCCCTTCTTCCATTACAATGACTTCCATTACTAAAAAGCCATAAACATGTGCTGGAAGACTTAGAGATTACTAGAGAACTATCCTCTCTAGGCATTCGCTAGATCCTCCAGAATGACTCTATGGTAACTTCTGGAGTATTGCAGTGGCAGAACACTAGAAACTGGCTCGAAATGCCATTTTCTCCATACACAGTTAAATGAGATTGCAGATTTGATTAGTGATTGAAAAAGTCTTACTGTAAGTACATAATGAGATACTTTGGAGATGGGACCAAAGTCTAAATACAAAATTGATTTATTTCATAAATACTGTCTACACTTAGCCTGAACCTAATTTTCTACTATATATATATATATATATATATATATATATATATATATATTAGGCCTGGGTAACAACGCAAACATTTGTTTCTAAAATCGATTTGTATTTGGGGGGTTTTTGCATTTCGATATTTAAAATAATTACAAAACTTTCCTTTAAAAAAGTTCAGTATTTACGAAATTTCGTTAATATTAACGAATCGGTTAGTTAATATGGCGGACCCCCCGCGCATGCGCAAATCACCCCTGGAACTTCGTTATTAAGACGGGGGTCGATTCGTTAGGGTGATAACGAATCGATTCGTTAAAAAAGAAATATTTATCAGAAATATTTAAAAATGGAAAATTAACAAAAAACTTGCCCTGTTGTGGAGCAAACACAGCCACAGGACAGGGAGAAACGCACACACAGGCACACAAGATTCTTTTCTTTTTTTATATTATTTTTTGATTTTTTTGAAGAATAAAAGAGAAATATTTATCAGAAATATTTAAAAATGGAAAATTAACAAAAAGCTTTCCCTGCCCTGTTGTAGGGCGAAAACAGGACAAAGCCTCCCCGCTGCTCCCAGCCCAGGTCTCACAACCGCCCTCGCTCTCCCAACAACAATGAATGAATCAATGTGAATGAATGAATGCAAGCAATGAATGAATGCAAGCAATGAATGAAAGCAAGAAATGAATGAATGCAAGCAATGAATGAATCCAAGCCAAGCCAAGCCAAGCCAAGCCTCCCTCCCGAACCTCCCGTCTCCTCCCTCGCCTTCGCAATGAGCAATGCGGACACGCGGAGCCGCTTTTAAAGGGCAGCCCACCCAATCACAATCAGCCACGGTGCTTGGGAGTGCCGGATTGGCTCCCAGGGCACCCAGCATCCTCCATCCCTTAAACGTCATTTCCGAAACGGGCGGAAGCTCGTAAAAAGGATGGAGGATGCCTTTTCGATATTGAAAAACCCTTCCGGGTTTGAAAATATGTTTTGAAATCATTTTGTAATTGTTAAAAATAACGAATATTTAACGAATTACAAAATTAACGAACGAAACCGCCCAGGCCTAATATATATATATATATATATATATATATATATATATATATATATATATATCCATGAAACAAAAGTATTTTTCAAGGAGAAAAGATATCGCCATCTCAGCCATCCATGTGAGCAATTTTAGATTTTGGGGAATTTTAGGTATTAAGATTAGGGATTCACAATATCTATAGACTTTACTAGTACAAACAACAGTATTGCCCCTTTCTTCTTAACCTTTATTTAGTATTTTACTTCCGAGAATACCTTTCCTTAAATAGGTAATGAACAAGATTGCCCTGTCAAGGTACTTGTTTTTTTATATACAAATGCAACATCTGAAAATAGCCTAAATTTAAAACACTTCTAATTCCAAGCATTTTGGGAAATTGATGCTGTACCTGAATGACAAAACAAAAAATGATATTCCTGTTATTTAGGGACCAGAGGGACCCCCAGGGCCAACAGGACCACCAGGAAACCCTGGAGAAATAGTAAGTAACTTTTTCAACTTGTCTTCATACCTCTCCTTCTCATCATCACCACCATCCTCATCACTGCCATCCTGATAATCTGAAATTAACAGATAGTGCAGTTTATTTATTTACAGCATTTTTACCCTGCCCTTCTCATCCCTGGGGGAGTGGGGGGGGGGGACTCAGAGCAGCTAACAAAGGCAGCAATTCGATGCCACAAATCAATAACAATGGTTCATTATCGTTTTGTAATTGAAAAAATTAATGAATTATTAACGAATTACAAATTAACGAAACGAAACCGCCCAGCCCTAGTAGATATATATGTGATGAATACTGCAGAAGTATAATCATTTTTCCACACAGTGGGAAGAACAATTATCCATTCTTTCACATGTGGAAAAAAATAGTGAAAGATTAATAACTGTACAGTCTACATACACACACAAAGTAAGAGTCCCAAGTATATTTTGGTTACCTTTTCTTTAAAAAAAATCAAACTCTCTTTTGGGCTTTTGTGGATCATAAACTAAGTAATAGGAAAGCAGGAGTTGGAAATAAGAATACTTAATGTCATGAACATCAGAAGCACACAATCACCAAGTATCTACTCCAGTTGGAAGTGTCAGATAGAACAAATGAAACCTCTACCACAGATTTGGAAGTAAAAGCTGTCACTACAATTTTTCTCCATCTCCTCTATATTACATCACAAACCATTCTGCATTGATGGTTTTAGAGAAAACACCATTAGAACTGATAGCATCCAATCCAGATTCATTCCAGACTGGACTGAATCAGACCAGTCCACAATGTAGGCTTTTGAACTCTTCACCAGGATAGGCAAACGAACCCCAGTGGGCTTTAAAGAACAAAGCTGACCCAGATCTTTTTTGTACTGGGATTTTTTTTTCTAACCTTTCTCAGTATATGTGGAATATTATGTATTTCTTTTGGGTTATTTTGTGTCAAAATCAATATTGTCACATCTGTTTCTCTTTGGCAGGGTAAAGAAGGACCACCAGGACCTCAGGGGCCACCAGGATTGCCAGGACTTGTGGTGAGTATTATTTATTTATTTACTGTATTTGTATACCATCTTTCTCAGCCAATCAGTGACTCAAGATGGTTTCCAACAAATCAGTGCACATAAAATCATAATACAGATTAAAACATTAAGACAGTATACAACACAGCAAAAACAATAAAAACAACACCATTAGCGTCTCCTTATTATCAAGCGTTGTCCAGTTCCATCATCAGGTCATTCAATTTCCTATATATTAGCTACTCTGCATTTGTAAATGCTTGCTCAAACAACCATGTTTTAACTTGCCTCTGAAATGTTAAGAGGGAGGGAACCGATCTGATGTCCTTAGGGAGGGTGTTCCATAGCCAAGGGGCTGCAACTGAGAAGGCCCTGTCTCTCATACCCGCCAGACATACTTGTGACAAAGACAAGACCAAGAGCAGGGCCTCCCCAGATGATCTTAAAGTCATTGATGGTTCCTAAGAGGAGATGCATTCAGACAGGTAAGTTGGGCCAGAACCGACTAGGGCTTTGTAGGCCAAAGCCAGTACTTTGAATTGGGCTCGGTAGCAAACTGGCAGCCAGTGGAACTGGCACAACAGGGGGGTTGTATGCTCCCTGAGAGCCGCTCCTGTTAGCAACCTGGCTGCCGTTCGTTGGACTAGTTGAAGCTGCCAGACCGTCTTCAAAGGCAACCCCATGTAGAGCATGTTGCAGTAGTCTATATGGGATGTAACCAGAGCGTGGACTACCGTGGCCAAGTCAGACTTCCCAAGGTATAGGTGATCTTCCATGTATTCTTAATCATTTGATGTCATCTGAAAATCATGGGGAAGCTAAAGGATTTTATTGCTTGGTTAAGTCATAGGTAATACTCTCAATTCTATCTTAAAGTAGATGAAGAAGGCATTGAAATAATAAGATTTTCCACACCTTGGATGGAAGGACAGTTAGGCAAGATCCTGAAGTTAAATATGTATAATTGAATATTAACGTTAGGATGGTCCATGTCATCATATCATCCTATTTCTATGTCTAGTTGTGAAAGCCAGATAGTGGGAAGAAAGCTGATAGGAAGAAAATTAACTCATTTGAGGTGTGGTACTGGTGACGAGTTTTATAAATACTGTGAATAGCAAAAATGACCTTTTTTTTAAAAAAAAAAAAAGGGGGGGGTGTCTCTAGATTACTTCAGCCCTTTTATGAGAAGAGGTGATTTACTAGACAAGACATAGAGGGAAATAGGAAGAGAGGAAGACCACATTCCAGATGGACAGACTGAATCAGAATATCCATGGGTCTGAGTGTGCAAGACATGACTAGAAGTGTTGAAGATTTAGTGACTTGGAGGTCTCTCATTCACAGGTTCACCATGAGTAGAAGTTGACTTCAAGGCAAAGCTGACAACAAAATACAGTTACTAAGAATCTAAACAAACTGATAAGAATTTTTAGACTGCTTTTTAAAATTGAAAATCCCAGAATTCCAAGGATGTTGCCATGTCAGTAAAGTGAAATCATAGTGATATACAGTATGCCCCTATATCTGCAGTGTGTACATTCCTGGACTTACCATGGTATGTGAAACTGCAAATAAAAATGAATCCTATTGAAATGAATGATTTCTGGCAGAAGCATACCAATCATATGCATCGTGCATCTAGCAAATGCCTAGAGAGAGAACACCATTCTAGAATTTCTAGATGCTCCAACACACCTTTATGGTCAACATCTAGTAGAAGTATACCATAGAATCACACTGGAGAACCTAGACACTTAGGGAGAACACCTTAACATTTTAGGTCCTCCAGGGCAATTCTATAGTTTACTTCCAGCAGAAGCAAACTATAGATTTGCACTGGAGGACCTAAACAATGCTTAGAAAAAGCATACTTTTTGGGACTTGGGTAAATGAAATCATGGATACTAGTCCCATAGATATAGTGTTGCATTCATCTTTGTAAGTCAAAGCTTTCTCATTTTTCCTCTTCATATTTGTGATAATTGTTTGGAAGCCAGTTGTTATATCACAAACGTTTGTTTCAATCCTAGGGTATTGCTGGGAAGGAGGGAAAAGATGGCAAGCCAGGGCCTCCTGGAGAATCAGTAAGAAGATATACTTTACTTATTAAATGATCATCAAAAACCATCCATTTCTTGAGTGTTAACATAGAGCAAGCTTTTCTTCCTACTCTTCAACAATTATTGCTTCTAGGGATGTGATAAATGATCTGGGATATAAGAGAATCAGCAAACTCATACCTATGGTCCCATTGCATTTTGAAATATTCACCTTTCAAACATTGTATAACATATATGAATCTATATAAATAAAAATATAATGTTCGTTTGTGGGATTAACAGAACTCAAAAACCACTGGGGGAATTGACACCAAATTTGGACACAAGACACCTAACAACCCAATGTATGTTCTTCACTCAAAAATGATTTTGTCATTTGGGAGTTGTAGTTGCTGGGATTTATAGTTCACCTACAATCAAAGAGCATTCTGAACTCCACCAACGATGGAATTGAGCCAAACTTGGCACACAGTTCTCCCATGACCAACAGAAAATACTGGGTTTGGTGGGCAATGTCCTTTGGTTTTGGAGTTGTAGTTCACCTACATCCAGACAGCACTGTGGACTCAAACAATGATGGACCTGGACCAAACTCTACACGAATACTCAATATGCCCAAATGTGAACACTGGTGGAGTTTGGGGAAAATAGAATCTTGACATTTGGGAGTTGTAGTTGCTGGGATTTATAGTTCACCTACAATCACAGAGCATTCTGAACCCCACCAATGATAGAATTGGGTCAAACCTCCCACACAGAACCCCCCTGTGGGCCACAGCAACACGTGGCAGGGGACAGCTAGTTATAAATAAAACAATAAACTATGGAATATAGGGATTATGAGATTTCATTGAATAGATCCTTTCCAGACTTTGCATCCATTTGAACTCCCAGATACAAAGATACCAATCAGAATTTTCTACATCTTGGTGGGCAAATGACTCCCTAATTCTCATCCATATTAGGTTCCCTATCTGAGCTATACGTTACTAGAAAGCCGTTTATATACTTGTTAATTTTGTTGCAACACACAGAATATAGATTAATTAGTTTATGAGTAAATCGTGTGAATGGTTTCACATTTTTCCTTGAGTAAAGAACCTCATTGAATGAGTAAAATGGAAACCATGCTCTACAAGAAGTGCCTTAGGGAGCTGAGTAGGTTTAGCCTAGAGAAGACAAGGTTAAGAGGTGACATAATAACCATGTTTAAATATTTGAAAGAATGACATCTTTTCTAATGCACTAGGATAACGAGCAATAGAGTCAAATGAGATTCCAAGTGAAAGTTGAGAACAACTTCCTGACAGCAATATAGAATAATAGAATCAAAGAGTTGGAAGAGACCTCATGGGCAATCCAGTCCAACCCCCTGCCAAGAAGCAGGAATGTTGCATTCAAATCATCCCTGACAGATGGCCATCCAGCCTCTGTTTAAAAGCTTTGAAAGAAGGAGCCTCCACCACACTCCGGGGCAGAGAGTTCCAATGCTGAACGGCTTTCACAGTCAGGAAGTTCTTCCTCATGTTCAGATGGAATCTCCTTTCTTGTAGTTTGAAGCCATTGTTCCAGGGAAGCAGAAAACAAGCTTGCTCCCTCCTCCCTGTGGCTTCCTCTCACATATTTATACAATATATTGCTTAGGTGTGTGCTGGAGTCTCCATCTTTGGAGATTTCTAAACAGAGAAGTGGTTGCTGTTGGCAGCCTTGTTTCCTTGTCTGCTTGTACTGTATCTTGTCCACTTTTGTGGCGAAGCATTGAATGTTTGCCTCTATGTGTTTTTAGTGTGTCGTAATCCGCCCTGAATACCCTTGGAGAGACAGGGCAGAATATAAATAAAGTTTTATTTATATATTTATATTATGGCAGAAAATTGGACTGGGCAGCCTTCCAGCTCTATAGTTTTGTGATGTAATAGATGTGGTTTTCTGTTGTCAGACTAATAAGTATGACTTCTTTTTTTCAGGGCAAGCCAGGAGAACCTGGGCTCCCAGGACCAGAGGGAGGGAGGGGGCCACCGGTAGGTTCTGCTGAAGACAGCCATGCTTATTAAAAGTGTTACCCATGTTCATTGAAATTACATGTGAGACGATACATTTCTCAGTTGTTCAGCACAAAATAGCCATGAAGGTTAAGCAAATGCTTGTGATCCAAGGGTTGATTTTGTATTCTAAGGATGTCCTGCAGGTCATGTTCGTCTAGAGAACATATTTAAAAAGGAGAAACAAAAAAGCATATATACTTTAATGGGGTGGCAGTGCAGTAAACACAGCAAATATATTTATATTTGGAGGCTTCCAGGAGTAAAAATGCCATTTTTTTCATTATTTTTAATTGACACATTAAGGGGGAATTTATGACAACAGGAACTGAAAAAAAGAAAAGACACCCCCCCCCCCCGTGGTCCACCTGATGTATTAGTGGGGAAACTTGGTACAGTTGGTGTAGAACTCCTGATTGTTTCCACTTTGTGCCCTTCCAGACAGGCTCCTATATCTCAGAATCTAATCCCAGAATCTAATCCCAACAATGAGTCCCCACGGCCAGATCATCTGGGATAAACAAAACTTGGAAGCAGATCCTGAGATATAGGGCCTGTCTGGAAGAGGCCTTAGTTCCTTCTCAGAAGTGGCAAAAATAACTTCTCATTCCAAGAAACTTATCAAAATTCCATGGAGTTTCAAAGATTATTTGCAATTCAGTATTTATTCTCCACAAAATGCAAATATGGTTGATTTCTGCAGAAAACAGTATTTTTTGCAGCATTTTTGCATAGGGAATTATGTTTCAATGTATAAATATTTGAATCCCCACTGTGAAATAATGCAAACACAATAATTATGAAATAAAAGGCTACTTCATTGATCTAATTAAATAACTTTTGGGAAACCAAGAATTTGGGGGAATGAACTTGACATGGGAAATGGCAAGGTATTACCTCCTAAGCCAACCTCTGGGTGAAATATCTGACCCCAGGGGCACTCTATATCAAAGGTTTGAGATCCCTGGCCAGTCATATTGAAAGGCCATCCCAGGGGTACTCCCAAGCCCCGGAATTCAGCAGAAAGAGCAAACCTCTTTATCACCAAGGGTGAGATTTTAGCCATCCCTATGCCCTGGATCCTAGAGAAGCCAAACAAAATGTCTTCTCGTCACCCCAAATGGGGGTACCAAGATGAAAACCCATCCATGTTCTTCTTCATTTCCTGCAAGTGAAACCTATTTAACAATGATACCACCCTGATATTCACTGATTTTTTCCAATTAGAACAATATGGATAGGCAGAGAAAACCCTTATAGGATAGGACAAATTCCTACCCTGCCCCAAGGCAACCAGCATCCATTCATACTGAATTGAGGGCAGGAGGGTTGGTTGTATGCTGTCAGAATTTAGAGAGGGGCATACAGCCTTATATAAGTCTTCCAACACACCCTTCTCACCTGCTGAGATTGGTGTAAATGCCAGTCTCATGAGAGCCCCTGTGGTCTACTTCCACAGGAACTTCAAAACTTCCCCCAGGCCACATAGCAGTGCCTTTGGCCATAGGGAAGACTAATTCCTCTTTTCTAAGCAAATGAAGCATTTGAAATTTTCAGCATTTTCTGTGTAGAAAGCAGAATTTTATATAGCCATGTGATGATGGAATAGTTGAGTATGTTCACACATACTCATACTTGAGAAAGAGACAGAATCATCCCACAAAGCTGGTTTTATTTAACCAGCTTTCTAGACAAATACTGTCTGTCACATTGTTTAAGAAACACAGACAGATAGGTTCAGGTCCTGATTTCAAATTTGTTAACAAAAAGGTCAAGACACACAATGCCAAGGAAATAGAGAAAAGAAAGATGTAGAAGGAGGATGTTTGGCAAAGTTGGACCAAGGTGATATTGTGTCACTTTAGCTCAAGGCAACTCTAGGAGCCTTTTTATTTGCACTACTATGTAATTGGAAGAAATACATTTCAGATTTTCATTTCCACTTCCAGGGTTTTAAGGGACCCCGAGGAGATGCAGGGCCCCCTGGCTCAAGGGTAAGTAATAATCATAAGTTCTGCATGTGAGAATGTGTGTTCCCAAGATGACCAATCTTGCTTGAATTCCTAACAATTTTATGCTGTTTTACGAGGGTTGAATGAAAAGTAATGCTCCCACCTTCATTACTTGGGTTTGGATGGGAATATTTTAATAAATCAAATGCAGAAATAATCCTTAGAATGTGCTATTTAACTACCACTATTCACTTTTCCACATAATCACCATACAATTGGATACATTTTTGCCAACGATGAACAAGTTTTCTGAAGCTGTCACGGAAGAAGTCGACACTCTGTTTCCACAACCACCATCTCACAGTTCTCTCATCCTGGGTACCCATTCTGCACAGATCTTCCAATAGCCAAGCAAAGCAATAATGTGACCCACACATTCTTGTGAAATGCCGATTATGTTTGAAATTTCTCTCTGAGTGATACGACGATCGTCCAGATTCAATCTGTCAACCTTTTGCTTGTGAAACTCGGTGGTTGCTGTCACAGGACATCTAACTCTTTGTTTGTCACGCAAGTCAGATGTTCCCACCTCAACATCTTTAAACTTACTTGCCCAACAATGCACAGTACTCACAGCAACACAATCACCATAAACAGCTTGCATTCTCTGATGAATTTCCTTGGGGTGACACCTTCTGCTGTCAAGAATTCAGTGACTGCACGCTGCTTAAGTCGCATTGACCAACCATCTGCACAGGATTCCATACTTCACACTTTAACAATACAACTGTTCAATGCTAAGGCTTCCCACCAAAATGGAACTGTAGAGGAGAGTCTACTGAACAAGCCAGTACTGCTGCATACTAGTACTGCCATCTGTTGAGGAGTTATGAAGGTAGAGGCATTACTTTTCATAGATAAATTTTACAGGTGTTTGAGCAGTGTCCTTAAGTGGTGTTTCCCAGTCTTGAAGCTGTTTAATGAAAAGTTCAGAGTTCTGCAGCAGATCAAATACTGGAACTCAACAGTGGAACTCTAAATCACATGACTCGCCCATTAGGAATCTTAGAGGTTTTACATTTCCCTTAATTGTACTTTTCTTCTCCTTTCTACAGGGAGAGGCTGGCCAACCAGGAACTCCTGGCCGGGAAGGCCAACCTGGAAAAGATGTAAGTGTACTTTTTTGGTGAATTGTACTTATTAAACTGCGAGAAAACATGCTTCATATAGGGTTTTAAAGGTCAATGTAGTGTAAACTAAACTATTATATAAATACTGTTGTTAATCTTAGCTAGAATAAAGCCATTTTACTTACATGTTCACTCACTATACAATCTGAGCACTGGGTCTTCTGCAGTTGGCACTAACCAAAAAAATTCTAGCTAATACTCCAACAAATTCTAGAACCACAATTCCAAATCTCTAAATGTACAATTTAAAAATTATTTGGAAGTATGGTAAGTGGTGTTCAAGAACTGTTACTCTCAAACATGTCAAATAATCATTTAATTTTTATATCTTTATGTATGATTTGATTCATATCTTGTCTTTCCTCTCTAAATAAGATTCGCAGCAACTTACAATAAGGGAGTAAAAATTAGAGGGATATTTTTTTTCACTAAGTTTCTTCTCAAAGGCAACAATTAGTAATGTTTATAATTTTCTGCCCTCTGCAAGGCAGTCTTTGAAAATAATGCCAATTTTAAAGGTTATTCACAATTTGAGAATATTCCTGTACAAAATTCACACGTTAAATCAGACCTTTTTTGTATGGAAAACAGCATTTCTTCCTTGAAAGTAATATTTAACACCAGGAAATTAATTCCTGTGGAGAAAATACTGTTTTCAGTACAGAACAACCACATGACAATTATGACCAGAATGAGCTCTGCACTGAACAAATACAAGATACTTGCTAAGCAGGCTGAGAATGAGTTAACTGTTCCTGCATTTGTAGAGTTAAGGAATGAAAGGTCTCGGCTACAAAGAGCATTGAGGCTAGCTGAGAAGAGAGCCAGCACCAGGTAACATCTGTGAAAGTGGGATTTAAGCAGCTGGAGTTTATTACCTGATTGCTGGCTGCAGTGTCAGTACTTGAGCCAAGACCCTTGATCTCTCATGCTTTCCATAATCTGGACAACCCTTAGACATTGGCTTTGGAATTGTGGAGTTGGCCTTGTAGCTTTATTACTAGCAATTGGCTCTTGACCCTGGAGTGGACATTGATTTACCTCTTGTATATTCCTTTGAGTATTTGAGAACTATTCGGCTCCACCTGGGACTATTTATATGTACCTGACTACACAAGGGGGTATGGCTTTTTTCAATTACTTGTTAAAATTATTTATTTTGTGTTTCAGGGTGATCCAGGCCCTAGAGGTCCTGAGGGCCCACGAGGACTTAGAGGACTTGCAGTAAGTTGTTGTTGTTATACCAAATGAATTTTGGGTAAAAGGATAGACAATCAATTTTAACCCTGGAGTCTAAAAGTTAGAGATTATAGGATGGCAGAAGCTGAAAAATCAGGACTTCAACAATCCATTTTAGAATGAATCATTCTTAAGGAATGTGGATAACTGTTCTTCTGAAGATGAGATCTTTGAGATGATCAGGAATGGACTATTAAAATAATTGCTTGATTTATGCCTTTCTTCTTTCCCTTCAGGGCAAGAATGGACCACCAGGACCACCAGGTGAAGCTGGCCCTCCAGGGAGCATAGTAAGTACTCTGTTGTTTTAGTGTAAAAAAAAATTACTTGTATTAGAATGACTCAAGAATTACAAGTCATGATTCCTTATAAAAGAAGAGGAAGGAATGATGACCTCCATCCTTAAGAAATATTTAATTCTGCCCAGGCTTATAAGTTTCTAGAGGAGATAAATAAACCAGATGAGAATTTGAGGTATGTGAAAAAAATCTCATGATGTTCCCAGACCCCTGGGAAATGTCAGTTTAGATAAAGGTGATAGAATCTGAGATGTTTCTACTGAAATATATGACTGGTATTCTATGTCAAGACAGTTGGAGCAAAATCAGATGGAAGGCACCAATTTCAATTTGCAGTTGCTCCCCCCCCCCCCGAATCTTTACACCTATCAGGGGACACCAGAGGTTTTGGACATCGTGCATTAATCTCCAAAATACTGCAGAAGCTTGTGATTTACCCAAAAAGAGACATTCTTGTCACAATCAGGATTGTGCCCATCTGCCCATGATTAGATCTTTACAAATGATAGAAGAAAGTGACATATAAAAGATGTACTTCTCAAGATAACATATCAAGTTAACAATTGAGAATAATGACTATCATGAAACTATCAAAGTCTCTCATTTGATGACATTTTATTTCATGTATTTTTAGTTTCTGTCACTTTATTTTTTTTCCTAGGACATTTCCACTTGTAGCTAGCAGATGGAGAGTGGTCCAAATAAATGAAATTGGATTGTACTAGTTACTAGGGCTGGGCGGTTTCATTTCGTAATTTCGTAATTCGTTAAAAATTCGTTATTTTTTTATAACGAAGCGATAACGAACCATTCAGGAGCAACTAAAAAACGAAACGAATTTTTAATTCGTTTCGTAATTGTTTCGAATTCGTTTTGTATTTGTTTCGTTATCGTTTTGAAATCGTTTCGTTATTATTTCCGCATGTCTGGGGCAAGTTTTATAGTTGTTGTTTGTTTAATCAGTGAAAAAAAATTATAAATATCACACCAACAGTCAACAACAGAGGGAGAGGGAAGCTTCAGAAGTTCCCCCTGTCCCATTTGGAGGTTTTTTAGCGTATTGCGCAGTCGTCCATTAACGAATCGATTCGTAATTGTTTCGTAATTGTTTCGTATTGTTTTGTAATTTACGAAATTTCGTAAATATCGAACTTTTTAAAAGAAAAATTTCGGAATTCTTTTAAAAATCGAAACGCAAAACCCCCCCCCAAAAAACGAATCGATTTTAGAAACAATTTTTTCCGTTGTTACCAGGCCTACTAGTTACTACTCTTCAGTATCTTTAGCCCTCCCTGTAGATACCTGGGACTTGCTCGTGCACAAAGAAGACTGCATTCAAAGTGATCTGAATATGTTGGATGCTGTGGCACTTTCCAACAAAAGCAAGCATTTGAAAAGCTATTTTAAACAAAGATTTCAGATAGGATTATTTTCCAGGTATGCCTGAACCAAACCAGGGATCACACCTGAAGACCGTTTCATGCAAGCATATCAACTACTTCATATAAAATGTAGCCATTCATGAAACCTAGAGCTGAAGCCAAATGAACCCACCTTTTCCCTGGAAAGATGCAACCTTAGGATTTCTTGTACACCTATAAACTGATAAGCCTGAGCAGCCCCTGCACCAACTTGAGATGTTTGAAAAATAAATGGCTTTCACAGGAAGTCAGATTTCTCTAAATGACGTTTTATGTCCTCTTCAAAGGTGACATTAGATTGAGGAAGATCTGTCAGAAATTTCAACCATGTAATTGAGGGGAAGGAGAGCTAGGGGACATGCAAAACTTGATTTTATTGAAGGCTTTTTATAAATTCCTGTGCATTCTTCCCCACCTCAGGGCTGATAATACATGGGATCTTAGTATGCTGGACAGCCATCTGGATAACGCATAAGAAGCTCCTCTTTTTATTTGCTTTTGCTAATTTGATTTTTTGCTTCATATTTGTTTTTACTAATATGGCACGGCATTGTGATACTATGCAAGATGAAGATGGGAAATATAGTGGGAATAGAATATTTTTTTACTCTAAGCATAAGTAGTGATTACTAGTATCATTGTTTAGGTAGACGTTTTAGGCTACAATACACAGTTACAGCACTTTGATTACACTTGAATCCTAGCATTGCCCATTGAATGCCACACCATGATCATTAAAGTGGAATCAGACTGCTATTATATCACGTGAAATGGCTCTTCCATATATTGATGAAAATATAAGATATAATGTATTTCTTATTTGTCTTCCTAGGGTCAAAAAGGAAGTAAAGGTGAGACAGGAAGCCCAGGACTTCCAGGATTCATAGGACCACGTGGACCTCCAGTAAGTAGCAAATAAGTATCTCCAGGACTGGGGGATCTCATCTGTCAGTCACTGCTTCATTTACCCTTTATGAGCACCCTGAAGGGATCACAGAAATAATTTAATGACTAGAGCATGGATAGCAGACATAATTTCTGACTGTGTTGCTTTAATTCCTGCTTTCTATTCCATAGGGAGAACCTGGAGAAAAGGGCCCTACAGGGAAAGAGGTATGTGTTTTAATATCTTTAGCTGCTGATAGTAGTGGTACATTTAAGCAGGTAGGGAAGCAATTGCACTACCTCTACTAAAGCTCTTTATCATTAAAAAAAAAAGAAATGTGCAGAAAATATGTACTATTATAGTATGACCCCCCCCCCCCAATACCCTTGTGATCAATACCTCCAGTTTGATTTATCCAGATCTGGCAAAATTTCCAGATCCACCAGGTGATTCTATGTTGAGTTTCAGCAGAAGTTAACATAGAGTAGTTTCTAGAAACCTTCTAGGTCCCCAAGGCAAGAAACAGTCAGGAACAGCTAATCACCTCTCAACAAAGGATTCCCCCAGGCAGTTACAAGCCACATCTAAAAACTATCAGGCCATCAAATGCTAATCAAGGTGGTCAATTGAAACATTCACACCTAGCTCCAACAGAAAATAGTTGTTTCTCCCACCCTGGACTTTCCACAGATATATAAACCCAATTTTCCTAGTTTCCAAAAGATCTCACAACCTCTGAGAATGCTTGCCATAGATGCAGGCGAAACATCAGGAGAGAATGCTTCTAGAACGCAACTAAAATCAAGGGTCTGGAGAACAAGCCCTATGAGGAGCGGCTTAAGGAGCTGGGCATGTTTAGCCTGAAGAAGAGAAGGCTGAGAGGAGATATGATAGCCATGTATAAATATGTGAGAGGAAGCCACAGGGAGGAGGGAGCAAGCTTGTTTTCTGCTTCCTTGGAGACTAGGACACAATGGAACAATGGCTTCAAACTACAAGAGAGGAGATTCCATCTGAACACGAAGAAGAACTTCCTGACTGTGAGAGCCGTTCAGCAGTGGAACTCTCTGCCCTGGAGTGTGGTGGAGGCTCCTTCTTTGGAAGCTTTTAAACAGAGGCTGGATGGCCATCTGTCAGGGGTGATTTGAATGCAATATTCCTGCTTCTTGGCAGGGGGTTGGGCTGGATGGCCCATGAGGTCTTTTCCAACTCTTTGATTCTATGATTCTAGAACATGGCAATTCAGCCTGAAAAACCTACAACAACCCACTCTCCATATTAGGTTCTCTAACTATAGTGCTGGGCTGCTCTCCCCCATTTTGCAGCCTTATTTTCAGGCTAAGAACAAAAAGCATGGATACATACTTGCACACACACCATATGTCAGAGATATTTTGACTCTTTTCGATGTAAAAGAGTCAAATATAGCATCCAAAAAGCACAGAATTCTCTGGCATTATAGTGGGTTGGTGCCTGTAACCTCATCTTCTCAAGAATATTCAGGAATAGCATTAAGTGATGATGATGAAGGGCCCTTCCACGCAGCCATATAACCCAGAATATCAAGGCAGATAATCTACAATATCCGCTTTGAATTGGATTATCTGAGAACCTGAAACAATTTGTGAACACTAGAAAAATTCTAAAATATGATTAAATAAAAAAAATATACAGTACTTGAATTTTCAGTTGTGGGCCAAATTTTGAAAACCACAGATAAATAAACAAAAAAAAAAGACCCCACTCCCTTAAAAATACTATTATAAATCATGATACAGTTGAATTTTCAGTTGTGAAAAGGAGAATTTTTGAAAACCACACACATACACAAAAGCCCCCTGGAAACATTGTTTTTGAAATCATGATATGTTTGAGCTTCCAGCTATGAAATTAGAATTAAATGTGAACACCACAACTTTGTAGTGTAGTTTTTGAGGTCCCTCTGATGGCCCAGTGGGTTAAGCCACTGAGATGCTGAACTTGCTGACCAAAAGGTTGGTGGTTTGAATCTGGGGAACGAGGCGAGCTCCCCCTGTTAGCCCCAGTTTCTGCCAACCTAGCAGTTTGAAAACATGCAAGTGTTATTAGGTTAATAGTTACCACTTCTATGGGAAGATAATGATACTCCATGAAGTCATACTGGCCACTACGGTCAACGACGGCTCTTCGGCTTAGAAATGGAGATGAGGATCACCACCCAGAGTCAGACATGACTAGACTTAATGTCAGGGGAGACCTTTACCTTTACCTTTTAAGGTCATGAAATACTTGAATTTTGAAAAGCGAACCAACAGAACTCCAGCCATAATAACACTACCAGCTGACCTTGAAACATTTGGGCTGCATGCATAGGAATACCATGTCACACATATCATCCACATTTGTTGTCCATTACAATCTAGATCAGTGGTTCTCAACCTGGGGTCCCCAGATGTTTTTGGCCTACAATTCCCAAAAATTCTAACAGCTGGTAAACTGGCTGGGATTTCTGGGAGTTGTAGGCCAAAAACATCTGGGGACCCAAGATTGAGAACCACTGATCTAGATGATACTCTGAAAAGGAAATCAGGGATTGCCCAACAGAATTGGTTGTGCCAATGATAAATACTCCAGAATTTTTGCAGATTTCTTTCTTTCTTTCTTTATTATTTATTTTTTTTATTTTAAAGTTTTATATACCGACCTTCTCACCTCTCTTGAGGGACTCAGACCAGTTTCCAACCATAAAGTACATACAATCAATAAAACATCAAACGACATATTCCAATAAAACACTAAAATATTAAAATAGCAAAAACAGCAAAACAGCAATTACATTCAATAAATACAATGGTCAGTCGTCCCACTAAATTTGATGTTCATTGTCCTCCATCCATAACTCCGGGTTCACTCCTCAAATGCCTGTCTCCATAACCACGTCTTCACCTGCTTCCTGAATGTCAGGATAGAAGGGGCGGTTTAATAGTATGTACTATGTGAATGGATTGTGCGATGCTGTATTTTATATAAAAGGGCAAGAAATTACAAAAATGCAAAAATGCTATCATTAATTTTATAGCTGGCTCTCTATTACTTTCTGCCTTTCCTTACAGGGCACTCCAGGGAAACCAGGTGGACTTGGAGATAAAGGAGACAAAGTAAGTTGGAAATGTTCATCCAAGTCAATGTACAACCAGCATGTCAAAGTTTCGAGCAAGGTTAAAGGGTCTTCTGGATAATTACTTCCTTATTACAGTCTACAAGACCATTCCTTGTATAGGATTGGCTTTAGCATATATATTTTTTTCATATCAGGAGCTACTTGAGAAACTGGTGTGAGAGAATTAGCTGTCTGCAAGGACGTTGCCCAGGGGATGCCCAGATGTTTTACCATCCTGTGGGAGGCTTCTCTTGTGACCATGCATGAGAAGCTGGAGCTGACAGACAGGAGCTCGCCCCACTTGTTGGATTCAAACTGTTGTGTTGTAGAAAGACAAGAAGAATGGAGTCAGCCCAGCCTATCTCAGTAGGGATTTTCATGTCTTTCCTAATTTATGTACTCATGAAACTGGTTTTTACCCTACAGGGAGATCCTGGGTCTAAAGGTGAAAAGGGAACTGCAGGAGAAAAAGGGCCACCTGGGGAACCTGGACTTCCAGGCCGAAAAGGACACACCGGGTTAATGGGCCCACCCGGACCTTCGGGAGACGTAGGGCAGGCTGGACCCCCTGGCTCACCAGGACAACCTGGATTTCCTGGGCCCAGGGTAAGTCTAGAGGAACTGAAATGTGAAAGGATAACCAAAAGGGTCATGTTTTTAAGAGAAGTCAAAGTAATTCTGCTGTTGAAATACACTTAAAATGTGAAAAACTGTTGCATGACAGCTGTGAATTTATACGGCACAGTGCAAACAAAGATAGGTCAGTATCCTGTTGGTTTCTTATTATGGAAGTGGAGTTTCATGTGATAAATTTAAGGCTGTGGAAGCTGAGTCATGTATGTGGTGCCCTTTTGCATGTGGCATCATTTTACGGGTATATGTGCATGCATATATTTAAGGACTTGCATGGGATATGTATGCAAACTGCTGTTGGTTCCAGATTTAAAGTTACATTCCATTAAAAAATCTGTATGGAGCAGCAAAACTGGGATGGGGAGTGGGGGTAGAGTTACATACCCTAACAAAAAGGTCAGCAAAGCATGACTGAGACACAAATATGAATACATGATCACCCTGGTAACTTGCACGGATCTATGATCACGCAAATGCTGCAGGATAGTAGCTTCATGCAAAAAAGTCCTGTATGTATGTGAACTTCCAGATGGTAAGAGCTGTTTAGCAGAGGAATATGCTGCTTCAGAGCATGGTGGAATTTTTAAGCAGAGGCTGGTTGGGCATCTGTTGGGGGTTGTTTTGATTGTCTGCTCCTGCACAGCACGTGGTTGGACTGAATGGCCCTTAGGGTCTCTTCCAACTCTTCTAATCTATCCTGAATGTGTCTAATATCTGTATGTGTGCTTGTGTACATGCACAGAGAGAATATTAATTTGCACTCCTTTAGCCACTCAGAAAGTATCAGTAGGTGGACAATTGTACTCATTTCATCTAATTGAGAAATAATGAGTTCTTTTGCTGTGAAAGGTTGCCAAAGCTTTCTACAAACTGTAACTGCTGTAGGCATAATATGTGGAGATGCTTCCCACACATGCCCCGTCCACTGCAACCCAAGAGAACCTATTTTAAGCACTGGAGAACTCGGGAAGAGGGAAAAAATGTCTCTATCTGAATCAGTACAAAAAAGGATTGTAGCATGTTTCATTTTGTTTCAGTTGCAATTAACATGATTGTATTTTGTTTCACTTGACATTAAGCTAAATATAACTTTAGCAAAAAAATATGAGTACAAACCTAGGGAGTGACCCAGGGTTTTTATTCAACCTGGTACAATCCATGAAGTAATTTTACCTGTCTCCTATCAAAATCATCTTGAGTACAAGTTGGCCATTATATGCATATATGACCTACTTATTCATGCCATTTTTAAAATAAGAGATAAGAACTCTGTTGCTCAATCAACTATCCATCAGCACTTAACTAGATGATCCTAGATTCTCACACCCATTTAAAATATGAATGCATCATCTCTGTTCTCTGTCCTTACTTTACTTACTTACTTAGGCAATCCCTTGTTGGCTGAGTAGGATAGCCTTCCAGGATCAGAATTCTTATGAGTCTGTAGGTGGCTGTGGAGCCCTATTCTTGATCTGCATCTTCTTCCTCAGCGAGGGGATTGGTTTCCAGGAGGAAGGTGGTCCCGGTCGGGTTTGGCTTGATGCGCCTTCCTCCTGGCACATTTCTCTCTTTCACCCTCCATTCATGCCTCTTCAAATTCTGCAGCACTGCTGGTCACAGCTGACCTCCAGCTAGAGCGCTCAAGGGCCAGGGCTTCCCAGTTCTCAGTGTCTATGCCAGAGTTTTAAGGTTGGCTTTGAGCCCATCTTTAAATCTCTTTTCCTGCCCAACAACATTCCGTTTTCCGTTCTTAAGTTCGGAGTAGAGCAACTGCTTTGGGAGATGGTGGTCAAGCTTTGGGAGATGGTGGGAGTTGGTGGTCGGACAACATGGCTGGTCCAGCGGGGTTGATGGCGGAGGACCATCGCTGGTGGTCTTTGCTTCTTCCAGCATGCTGACGTGCTGGAAGAAAAAAGTTCTCTGTCCACAGCATCCATGACTATTCATAGATAATATTGCCACTGAATTGCAATATAAGCCATTATGGTGAATGTGAATGTGAATGTTCAGTTTAGCTAGCACTGCGTTGCACAAGCATGTACAAACCCTCTTTTAAGTCATCTTTATCAGGAACTATCACATTAAAAAGTGTTATTATTAAGCATTGAAGGACTTGAACCTCCCACCAAACAATTTTATTGGTTGATTTTTATATTTAGTTAGACTCAAGTTTTTTGGGCATTGAGAGAACTGTTTTGTTCAAAACCATGCCTGGTATTGTCCTGGGAATGTTATAAAAAGAGTACAGCAAAACCTGGATCATTGGTTCTGCTCCCTGTTGTACGTTCTCATTTGATCACTGACACAAAAAGCTTTTGATTCTAATGAAGCATTGATATATTTGCACTTTCTACTTTAGGGGGATTCTCCATCAATGGAAACTTTGCGAAGACTTATCCAGGAAGAGCTAGGAAAACAACTGGATGGTGAGCACTAATGCAGTGAAGCCCACAAAGTCTTCACATAACCTGCTTTTGATCATTCTTCATGTATCAAATCTACTTTCCATCATTTCTCACCATTGGTTGTACAGGTTAAAGCTAATGAGAGCTGGAGATCAATAGCATCTGGAATCCAGAATACAAAGCACTTGTTACTTAGTATATCCAGTTGAAAGTTAAAAGCCTGTTTATGGAAAGGTTTTTGCCTGGAAAAACAGAACCAAGAAGGGGCCAACTAAGTCTTTCTATGGAAGGTCCTTACTAGAGGATCACTCGTGTTCTTACTAAAAGACTCTGGAAGGTCATGGGATTAAGAGAAAATGTGCTACTCAGGCAGATTAATATGGGGAAATCCAGGATTTAAAACAATCTATATACCTAAGGCAGGAAACTCCTTTCCTTTTCTATAACTAACAGCATTACAATCAATGTATTGTCGAAGGCTTTCATGGCCAGAAACACTGGGTTGTTGTAGTATTACAATTAGTTTCTAGAAAATAAGACAATGGTTACAGTATGTAGTGGACTTCAACAAACGAAGCAAAATGTTGAGCACCAGCCTTGCTTACAATGGATAAGGAGAGGATACTGTAAGACAATATTAAATCAGGTTCTGACATGAGTGCAAAAAAAATGAAAATAATTATATTTGGCACAGTTCATGGAAAGAATAAAGAATCACTAATCAGATCCAGCATTTCCCCATTCATGCTTGCAGCCCACATAATGATGTTCAGTATTGTTTTCTTTTCCTGCAGCCAGACTGTCCTACCTTGTGAGTCAGATGCAGCCAGCCCATGTCAAAGCACCTCCAGGTAGGCCAGGACCTCCAGGACCACCAGGGAAGGAAGGCCCTCCAGGTAGAACTGGTCCACTCGGTGAACCTGGCAGACCTGGACAGCCGGGTTCTGAAGGGCCAGTGGGACCGATGGGACCGAAGGGTGAGTAAACCTTAAACATGGTCGATCTCTAATCTAGAAAAATTGACACCCCTTGTGGAGCAGGAGCAACTTTTATATGAGCTGTAAATAATTTCTGTAGTATGGTAGGATGGCATCTTACTGACCTTCTGGAAGCTAAGTCAGTCTTAAAAGCCAGAAAAATAACTAAGTGCTATTTCCTTTCCTTTTCCCCATGGTGTTTTCATAATGAAAGTGAAACTCCATTTAGCACGTCCTTGCCATTTTCTTCTGTAACAACTTGGTAGGCTAAAAACATATTGTACAGTGACAGCTAGAGCCACAGTATTTAGATTTCCATTTTATATATGGAAAATTCTAGAGAAATCCTGTAAGTGAAAAAGAACCCATTCCCTTTGTTTTCATCCAATAATACAGCAGTGCAAAAGTGGCTGGTAATATCAATATTTGTGGAATACATTTAAATTCAGGCTTGAAAAGAATTCTCCAAAATGTTTAACCCTATTTCCAAATAGACTTAGCACTGTGGACAAATCCTTTAAAGTTAGTGAAAACTTGAAATAGATCAATCACCCCATTAATATGGGAGCCTCAGACACCAGCACTACTGTAGTGCTTCAGTTCAAGCTATCTAAATATATTGCTTCAAATTTGTGAGATTTAAGACTAGACTTCAGTTCATAAACTCATTGCCTCCATATATTAGAGCAATGTTGGAGTTGTGACCTTTTGTAAAGGTGCTCAAGACTTGGATGTTTGGTTGTGCATTTAAGTAATCGGATCAAATTTTGCCATAGTCACTGCTGAATGTTTTTATGTGGAATGTTTTGGTGGAGAGCGACTAATTAAGAAATAAAGTGATGATGATGATGATGATGAAAGTAGTTCACACAACATCCCAGTGTAAATAATTTCTATAGTCTCAAGTTTCCAAGATTGTTCTATTAAACAGCACAGTTTCAGTCAGTTAAAGTATATAGAACTCTTCATGTGAACAGAAATCTGCTGATGGTCTTGCAAATGTGGCAAAATTAGAGATTTGATAAGGAGCAGGCACAGATATTAAGGGTGGGACCACAACTCACCAATTGCATCCATCACATTTTTGAGGGACATGAAATAGAGTTTCTCTGGACCTACTTCTGAGTAGGCAAATACAATATTCAGTTGATATTGTCTGAGAATAAGTTATCATCTAAAGATGAGTAGGAATTAGAGAAGAACGCTTAATTGTTAATTTTATTTATTTATGACATTTATATGCCACCCTTCTCACCGTGAAGGGGACTCAGAGCAGCTTACAAGTAATATACAATACAATAAATCAAATACAGATGTTTAAGACGTAAGATGAACATGAGGAACAACTTCCTGACTGTGAGAGCCGTTCAGCAGTGGAACTCTCTGCCCCGGAGTGTGGTGGAGGCTCCTTCTTTGGAAGCTTTTAAACAGGGGCTGGATGGCCGTCTGTCAGGGGTGATTTGAATGCAACATTCCTGCTTCTTGGCAGGGGGTTGGACTGGATGGCACATGAGGTCTCCTCCAACTCTTTGATTCTATGATTCTATGATTCTAAATACAATATCTTCCTGGACCCCTCTCTTTACTCTGGTCCCAGAGTAGGAAAGGCTCCCAACTGATGACACTGAAGACGAGATCATTATGAAAAGTATTTATATGACAATAGGAATTCTATAAAATTTTGTAAGAGACAGATTCTTTGCCTTGGTCTTCTCCCAAAAGAATAGCAGTACTCAGAAAGGCAAAACTGTTCAGATGATGTAGTTGGGGAAAACAGCACAAAATAGGTAAATAAATACTATAGTAATACTTGGCTACTCTAAATGAATCCAACTCTCCAGGTCCAGATGGACTACATTCAAGGGCATTAAAAGAACTAGCAAAATAATTTTAGAACTGCTGGCAATGATCTTTAACAATTCCTGACCACATTTAAATATTTTGAAAAATTTCATTTTGAAGATCAAGCCAGTTTGTTTTCTGATTCTTGAGAAACTAATACACATAGCAACGGGTTTCAATAACAGGAAAAGAGAATCAACGTAAAGATTAGGTAGAATTTCCTGACGGGGAAGAGCTGCTGAACATTGCCTTGGAATTTAATGGAGTCTCCTTCTTCGAGACTTTTTAAACAAGCTAGATTGCCCTTAGTCAGGAATACTTTGATATCTATATGGCAGAAGGATCGACTGGATGGCCCTTGTGGTCTCTTCCAGCTCTATGCTTTTATGATTATAAGTAGTTCTTTACCATTATTCCCTTTGATACTAACAATGCAAGGTCTTGAAATCTGAATAATCACTTAAACATATATTTATCTCCAGGTGATAGAGGAGACAAAGGAGAAAAAGGAGATGCAGGCATTGGTCAGAGGGGTGAAAAAGGTCCACCAGGCATACCAGGTGAATAACAGATTTTCTTATTGCATGTGACTTTCCTTGGCATAATGGATGGCCTTGGACTTGGGTCATCACTTCCTTTCAAATAAAGGAGCAAGCTATACTTATTAATATTTCCATCTTGGAATTCAGTGCATTTCTTCATGCCACAGAAAAATTAACCCTGTTTTACATTTGAATTTTGTTTTCAAATAGTTTTTGACAAGGGTTTGTTTACAAATGCAGAAATTTGCCTTACTGAGAATGAGATCATCTAGTGTTATTATTTTATTGTCGTTGAAAGGTGTTACATGCAAATATAAACAGACTTAATATACAGCATTGTAAACTTATACAAAATTCACTCTAACCTCCTTTTCATGATATTAAAATTAAGAAAATAAAAAAGCAGTTAATATTGACTGTCCACTTTGAAAAAGTAATCATTCTCTTGCTATTATGTAATAAGAAGTCTTAATTTATACCATGCAGCTACAACATTAAAAGCATTATTAATACTAATTCAAATTTCACATGCACCTTCATGGTTTCTTTTTTTTTTTGTATAAAAGCCATAAAGCATTCCCAATAATTTGAAAAAAAATATCTAAAGACTCTATGAGCATACTAGATCATTTGTCCCTTTCTGTCATTTCAAGATCCAACTTTCTTTTTAAATGTAAGTCTGTGTTCTTCCATTTTTGAGCTTATAGTATTTTGAGGGTTAAAACTATATAGTGCATGGGTTTAAAATTAAAATTGTTAGTTTGTTTGCTAATCCCAATAAAAAATGAAGTTGGATCTAATTCAACTGTAGTTTTGAAAAATTTTTGCATCAAACCTTGAACCAGCTTTTTGTATTTTTATTGCTTAATTCATTCAGAATGGGAGCACTCTGCCATGATCTTTACCAATAATGTTTTTTTTCCTATAGGTGTTCCAGGTGAACCTGGCTATGGCAAAGATGGGGTACCTGGAGCACAAGGCCCTCAAGGTGATGCAGGTATACCTGGTCCTTTGGGTCCTCCAGGTCCTCCTGGACCCAATGGACAATGTGACCCATCTCAGTGTGCTTACTATGCAAGCCTGGCTGCCAGACCCAGCAACGTCAAGGGGCCTTAAAACCATCCATGGACCTCTTATGGACCTACTTCTGAAAACTTGAATGAAACAAGGAAGTAGTCAGGAGATCCATCGTATTTCTTTGGAAGAGGCCTTTTAGACAATTAAAACCATCCAATGCTGCCGGTCGGTCAAGTTAATTATGATTATTTGATATTGTTTTATGAGACAATGAGTCATTTCTTTTTTTAAATTTTGTGTTGTTTTTGTGTTCTCGAATGTCAGGGACAGATTTTAAACAACTTTTTTTAATTTTAAAAACAAAAAGAACAAAAGAGAGAGTTTTTAAATAAATAAATATTGACAATGAAGTGTAACTATTGTATGGACAGAGTCTGGGTTAATACAAAGTAGAAGATAATATTGGTTTGTCTCTCAGTTTGTCAGGGAGCCCTTCATAAAGATAGAAATGTGTGCATCATACAATTTATCATTGTGAGCATTATGTTCTTTTCACCGAGAAACACTGAAATCAATACTTTCATTTGGAATTTCAGTAGAACACAAATGTATTAACAGCTACTTCTGGGTGGTCAACATCTTGCATATTAGGAAGTTTGAGTTCCTCATGTTTTGAAAGTCTGGTAAAACTGTTTCTCAAGGCCATGCTAAATGTTGAGAGGTTACAATGGTGACCCTAGTTTTCAAAGAACATAAATGTTGAAAATATGAAGTGACATTCTTGCATCCTTGCTCTGTTCTCACACCCTTTTTTCAACCATCTCCTTTCATGCTGTTTCTGGCCAGCTGTTTATCTCACAATGGCAATCCACACATCTGGGCATCCTAGCTATTGTTTACCTTCGAATTGTTTCTGAGTTATAGTGACCCTAAGGCAAACTTATCACAAGATTTTCTCAACACTGAAACTACTATGCTACAAAATAAAATGGAAAAGAAAGCGGTAGACATGTTAAATACTTTTGTATGTAGAAGGCAGCTACTTCTGCTGCTGCCTTTTCTCCCCACTTTTATTTGTTCAAGAACTGGTTCTGTTACTACAAGTTTCAGATTTACTCTTGGTTCTCCTCCTTGGCTTTGTTTCAATCCAGAACTTCACCATCCCTTTTCAGTTATTCATTCACAAAAGAGCACAAAACTAATTCATTTATTTCTCTTTTGTTGTGCCCAATTTGAACAAGCTGGGAACAACATTCTGAAAGAGTTCATTGATAAGTAGAAAAACATTTCATAGTGCCATCCTGTGAATGTTTGTATAAGTTTCGGTTTTGTTGGGTGAGTCTCTAGCAAATGTGTTTGGCAATGACAGTTAATAACATGGAACTAGGAGATTGAGTGTGTAGAAATGAATACTTATAGTTCAGTTTTCTGAGCAGAAATAGGAGCACTATTCTAAATATAGAGTCCCCATCAGCAAAGCTTCAGAATGTGCCTGACCAGACCATTTCAAAGTTCAAATATAAAGCCACTGTGTACTTTTCTGAAAAACAAGAATGTAAACCCTCAAATATTTCATCCTCAAATGGAAGGACAAATAATTTGATTCATTTCCTTCTCAGTACAGGAGAAAATGAATGCTCTCCTGGTAATGACATGTCTCAAAGCATTATGAGAAAGTGTTCTGCCTAGGCAGTAGTCTGTGCAAACATATTGGGAAGAAGAACATGCAACAGAATAAACTGAATTGCAAAGGAAAAACTTGGGCCCTTTCACATTACATAGTTATAGCACAAAAATCAATGTTATTTGCCATGCCTCCATCCTATCAGATCCTGGGCTTTGTCAGGGAAACAATAGATCTCTCTGGCAGAAAATTCTGAATATCCCTCTCTGAACCATAAATCCCAAAACTCCATAGGATGGAGTCATGGCAGTTAAAACATGGCATTATAGCTGCATACTGGGAAATAGTTCATTGGGGATTTCTGTGCATAATATTCTCCTGGCATCTTTCAAGTAATGTGCGTATTAAAAGAAAGCCATAAAAAAACCTAACCTCTGGGTTATCATTCCCAACAGACTTTCCCAAGACAGGAAACCTTCTGCAGGGAGGAGATAGGAAAGGCTACGAAAAGAATAGTGGAGAGTCGCCTTTTTATTCCTATTATGTAGGAATAGAAAGGCATCCCATCAGAATTCTACTACTTATCTATGTGATGTGGTAAGGAGAAACTTCAAGACAGAGCAATCTTCATATGAGCAATCAAATAGGGCAGGTAGTTGACATTAGATTGGAACATGTGCTAGAGGCCTCAGTGGTCAATTGAGGGAAAACTAAAGGCCTCCTAAAATTGGAGGGGAAAAATCTTGGTGAAATACTTATCTAGTAAAGTATCACATACCTTAATTTTCCCTTAATCATGCTTTTAACAAAGTCTAAATCCACTCATGATAGCCTAAAGCTCTCAATATTGCTTTTTGCTAGTTGTGCTTCCTCAGCATTGAAGCAGCAGCAGCAGAACTCCAAAGGACTGCAGAAAATGCAGCTGCACAGATCTATCTTTTAGAATCTTTGTGTTGATATCTCTTTTAAAATATTTTTCTTAATATTTAGTTAAGGATCAGTTACTTTAAGTTATCATATTTTTTTCTTTAGAAATAGCTAAGTCCTCCAGTGTGCTTCTATGATCAATATCTGTTGAACGTTGCCCATTGAAGCACACTGGATGATCTAAAATGCCTTTAAAAGTGTCCTTTCTAGGAATTTCTGGCCAAAGTTGACTATAAAATTATTGTAGATGAGATAGTGATTCCTAGAGACAACATATTCAAATCCATGAATAATCAAATCCACAAGAGTCAAATCTGCAAATGTAGACGGATAACAATATGGTATATATTGGAGGAGAATTTCTGATCTTATACTGATATTTTCCAGCCGGCAAGAGCTCAACAGGACCTCAAGTAGAAAATGTTTCCAATCCTATAATGTAAGGACAGCATGCAGAAATAGAGTATGGTACTTTACTTACTTAGATGATCCCTCGTTGGCTGAGTAGGATAGTCTTCCAGGATTCTTGTGGGTCCGTATGTGGCTGTGGAGCCCTATTCTTGATCTGCATCTTCTTCCGCAGCGAGGGCATTGGTTTCCAGGTGGAAGGCGGTCTCGGTTGGGGTTGGCTTGACGCGCCTTCCTCTTGGCATGTTTCTCCCCCTCGATGGACTGTCACCTTATCGTGGTGAGGGGGCTTGCGTGTTCCAATGAACCTGCGGGCACAACAACTGGAGTCATGCACTCCCAGGAGTGGCCGTGGGGGTCATTGTGTTAAACTACACCACCAGAGTATGGTAGTAAGTAACCCATTACAAATCTATACAATAAAATGTAATGTTTGTTTGTGGGATTAACATAACTCAAAAATCACTGGATGAATTGACACCAAATTTGGACACAATACACCTATCAGGCCAATGAGTGACCATCACTCATAAAAACACTGAAAAACATAGCAGAAGAGACTTAAAAAGCCAAAAAATAAAAATTACATAACAACGCATGCACAAAACCACACATATACACACACATATACACAAACTGGGCCACAGCAACACATGGCAGGGGATGGCTAGTGAGTTATAAAATATTTATATATTGTGCCTTTCATATGACAGAAAAATACAATATAACTAAGGGTTGAGGTGAAATCAAGCTTTCTCTCCAGGAATCAGAAAACATGTCTCACCAGTAAGACCCACAAAATAAGACTTTCTTTATGTTTCATTGGACAATCACAAAAGCAATCACACAAAAAGAAGGTAGGCAAAAGGACATCCTATGGCAAACAAATGTCTATCGCAACTTGAAAAATACCTCAGGGGAGATAGGGCGGAGTACAAATAAAGTGTTGTTATTATACATCTATATGTCCCAAACATTATCATACAATTCCACTCTATTTGCAGAATAACTGTTTTTTAAAGTCATTTTATAGGAGCTTCACTATGAAAAGTACCTTAGGCGAATGCCTTCCAGCATGCTGATGTATTGGAGGATAACAAAGTAACTTTGTTACTAGAATAACAAAGTAAAAAAAATAACTGAATACTTGGAGGTGGAATTGTAGAACTGCTTTGCATCTCAATCACAGAGATAAAATTGGGATACAAATAAATATAATTATTAGGGGTGTGCAATTTTTTTGTTAGTCGTAAGTCATATCAAATTTCTTACATTTGTACTTATGATGCAATATCCAATGTGTGGGTGTGACAGATGGGGGAATGATCCCATTATTTTGGGGCATTGTATATGAAACTCAAGGAGATAGCTCTTGCAGTTTTTTTAAAAAATGTTGTTTATAAAAACTTTGAAAATTCCCCAATCTTCCATGGATATGTGAAATGTTCTGAAACTTTAGGGGATAACAGTGGTAAATGTGTTGTACCAGTGTAGCAATTTTCACCCCAATAGCTATAAAAATGAGGGAGAAAGGAGTCCCTGAAGTTTCCCCACATGCACAATTACTATAAGAAAAGGTAATGAAATTTCCTTACTCTCATTATAGCAATGAAATTTTCACTAACTATACTTTAGAAATAAAATGCCAGCACCCCCTAATTTTGTCACATGCCTAATAATTATAACACAGTAGAAATTACTTTTTAAGGTAAAAGTAACTTTTACCTTAAATCTGGGACTTTAATCATCCATAAAAATAATCCTCTTGTTGAACTATTAGTTTTCTTGGTTGTACAATTATATGAAGTTCATAACTACCTGCAGTTTCTCAAGTCACTCCTACCTTCTAACTACCTTGTTTACAGACATGTTCCTTACCAGAATTTCCCCAGGGATAACTGTTGGGTTTGATTTCTTCTTTCCTTTGCACAACCATCTTAGTTTTGCAAGTTTCAAAGCAGCAAGGTGCAATGAATTCAACTTTAATTTTCATCAGCTGTGGTTTGATGGGGTGAAGGTGAAAACAGATTCAAATGTCAATTTACACAAAACTATTCAACATTTCTAAAGTTTGTGCAACAGTGTTTAAGTTTTTGTGAAACAGATATACATTATTTATATATTTTAAAAGGTGCTATTTTATGTGTGTGTTATGCCATCTGTATTTTCCTTTTAAAAATTAGAAATATGAAGTGTCTAAATTATTGTGATTGTAACAGTTATGCTATATGCCAAACAATTACGATGCTTTGTTTTGCCTTTGAAGGAGAAATCCCAGAAGCATTTTGATGGCAAATAAATTGATTTGCCAAAATATTTGGAAGAGTTTGATTTGTGGCTTTGTTTCTTTTGTTCTCAATATATTCTCTTTCTATCTCTTGGGGGAAAAAAAAGGTTTTGTTGGAGATGAGTTGTCAGTTTTGTTATTGTCATTTGTGAATGGTTTATGTTGCAACACTGCCTTGTGGTGCTCTTTGACTAAGGTGGTTACTTGTTATCGCCTAACAGGATTATTAAACTATTTCCCTTCCAATTGTCCAATGCATTTGTATGCTCTGCTTCATATCTAATAGAAAGGTTTTCAGGGCATAGCTCTGCCTTCAACTGAGAGTCCTTCAAATTGTTCCTTTCTAAGGGTGCATCCACACTGTAGAATTAATGCAGTTTGTGACTGCCTTAACTGCCACTACTCAGTGCTGTGGAATCTTGGAAGGTGTGGGTTGGTGAGGTGCCAACGCCTTGCTAAACTGTTATGTGATTTCAGCTTCTGCAAGAACTGGAGGTTTGGAGCCTGGTGTGTTGAGCTTCCCAGAAGGCCAGATGAGGCACAGACAGGTTGAAGGCAAAATCAGAGGATTAATTAATTCTCAATAGCCAGAGAGGATGTCAGCGGAGGCAGCTCTTCAACTGTCATAACACAATTGTGAATACATAGCATTTTTATTGTATTTTGACAGCGATACAAGACTATCACACTATCTCCTAATTGGTCCAGAAAGTGTCAAGCTAGGATCCACCCTGATTGATTCGGGGCTCCATCCAATGTCATTGGTGGTTGATCTTTGCCGTGGTGGGGAAGTTTGATAAATTTTCATTGGATTATTTTCAAGATTGCATCCATTTACTGACACCCCCCCTCCCCTGGAGAGGGGCAAAATCAGAAAGGATGTGCTATAGTAGTCATCATTTTGTGAGGGTTATATTTATAAAGTATCTTGAATAACAAGGCAGTTTGTAATAGTCCTAAAGTGCCTAAACTTTGAAACTATGAAGTGATTAATAGAAGGACAAAGTAATGGAGACAAAAGTAGACCAAGGGAAATATATTTTTATATCCACTTCACCCTTGTAAGCCCAAAAATAGCGAAATGGTTAACAAGCCTCAGCATATGCATTCTGCATATATCTTGGGCACTCTCTGTATAACCACAAATTCCTTCCCTTGATCCTCACTGTTCAACTTACTGGCCATCAGCAGGGAAGGCAAGCAATGGTAGCTGGTGGTAGCAATATCAATAAAATACTCAATCCATATTTTAGTCCAAACTCCGAGTCTAATGGAGTTATAAGCAAAACAGAACCTATTTGGGAACAGGCCCCAGGGGCTTGGGGACAAGGTTCAAACTTGGATAGCTCAGACTAAAACCCAGAGTAAATTCATCATACCATTGTCATCTATGCCACACTTGTGCTAAAACAGATGAATACTGTATGTTACTGGAAATTATGCACACAAACAGATCGCATCTCCCGACAGTCCTAAGTTAGCATTACTAGTTAAGAAACATGTTTTCTTTGATTTAAGGTGAAAGTAATCCTGTGATTCTATGTATAAGCAATAAAAAGATACAAAGGACATTAATTGAAGGCATTCCTACCTTGTGGCAAAATAAACTGTGAAACCACTGTCAAATGGTGAGAATAAGAAAGAAGGTGGTTTCAGATTGAGGTGAAATAGAAGCCCATTTTCTTAAACAAAGCATTGGGCCTTGGCTGTGTACTTTTTGTCAGAAGCTATACTAAGGAAGACAAACTAGCTCTCCAGGGGCATATGTGTTTACAGATCGGATGTAGCTGAGCAACCTAAAGTTTCTGTATTTGCATTGCTAATAAGAGGGCAGGAGCAAGGAGGAGAACCCAAACAGAGTCTAGTTGATAAAAAGTACTGAGAGGAGCTTACTGGAAAATGAGTCCTTATCTTCTGATCCTGCTAGTGGAAGAATGAAACTGGGCAACAGCACTCCTTTCCCCCTTCTAAGCATTGACCTTCAATGGAAATATCTACTAGAACACGATCCTCAAAATGAAGGTGTGAAAAAACTCAAACTGGAAGGAAAGGAGTTGATGTCAGTACCTCGCCAGCTCTTTGCACTTGAAGAACTGCAAGTTTTAGAAATGAGCCCAGAACGAAAGAGCTGCTTGAGGTATGCCCTGGATTTTATCCCTCATGAAATCGGCCACTTGAGGAACCTAACCTTACTCCACCTGGACTCCAACAACTTGAAAGACATTCCTGTTGAAATTGGTTTGTTAATCAAGTTGGAAAGACTTACCCTCAGTAACAACAATTTAACTTTTCTGCCAAAAGAAATTGGAGGTCTACAGAGACTACGTAGCCTCCATTTGGCTAACAACAACCTGACAGAGTTTCCAGAATCTCTTTGTCAGTTGAGGAACTTGGTCTTCTTAGATGCCACCGATAACCAAATGAGCACCATCCCTGATGACATCCACCAGCTACAGAAACTGGAGACATTGCTGCTACTTTTCAACTCCGTCAAGCATTTGCCAAGAGGAATCTGTTCATTAAAGTCATTGACGACCCTTTGGTTAGGCCACAACAAGCTAAAGGAACTCCCATCCAGTTTTGGTCAGTTGATTCATCTGGACTGGGGCAGGAATTATTGTTCATGCAATTTTGAAGGGAATCCATTAAAACAGCCACCCCTTGATATATGCAGTGGTGGGCCTGCTGAGATTAGAGAGTACTTTGCCTCACTAAAGGAGCAGAGAGAGGTCTGAGTGACTTGAGTGGTGGAGTAAAAGACCAAAGTTCAAAAATACACTTAGCCATAAAAATCTATTAAGTGGTCTTGGTCAAATCACCATCTCTCAGACTAAGGAGAAGGCGGTGGACAATCAATATGGACAATAAAACACTATGTTGGGGCCACCGTAAGTTGCATTTATGTTAAAAGCACATAACAACAAGAAAAGGAGTAGACATTTTTGGGGAGGGTTATATGGAATAGAATAAGGCATGTCTATTTTGCATGAATATATATTCCAACAGAATATGTGTGCAAGCCAGATTATATGTGAGACCTATATACAGAAGAGCATCTTGTGGACATTGAAACAGAACATTTGAAATCTATGGTGGAGGAATGATGACTTATGATCTCAAATTAAGGGATGGGTTACAATTTGATTTGGTTTGTTGTGGATAAAACTGGTATACATTGTTATAAGGTAATAGATGTAACACTTAGAAATACAGGGTGAGCTTTCAGTATCTCAAAGTCAAAAAATACACTAAAATCCAAAATTGTTCACATGGGTTGCTAAGATTGTGCATTTTGATAGTTCAATGTAGATAAACTTTGTTTCATGCACACAAATATGTTTAAAATTATATAAAATGAACTTCAGGCTATGTGCATTAAATGTATATGAAACATACATGAATTTTTAGACTTAGGTCATTTCTAAGCTATCTCATTACATACATGCAAATCTAGATTTTCCAAAATTCCCAATTCTTCTGGTCCCAAGCTTAAGTAAATCAGCATGGGAAACATAGTTCTAAAATTTTTATGGAAAAAAATAACCTTTATACCATGCAACTTAGAGATATTGTTGTCACATAGATAAATAATATTCATATCATCATTGAAATTTGAATGTGGATTTATAAAGTGACTTCTGTATGTGTGTGAAGTAGTGTGTCTGATGAAGGTGTGCGGGCCCTGGAGCACTGCCCAAAGGGGGAAAGACAACAATATGTCCAGAAGAAGAAAGATGAAAACTTCAAAAGGGAGAGATGAACAGATGAAACTTTGATGCAAACTGTGTCATAGCTCTGAAACAGTTGTCTTAAGCACTCTGAGAGAGGGTGGTGAATAATCTTACAGCATAATGTGAACTCTTGTACATGTCTCTCCCACTCACTCCCCCACCAAAAAAAGTGCTTTGGAGGGTGTGGAATAAGGTCTAGTGGAAATGCAAAACCACTGCACACATTGGCATATGATCATGTAAATGTCCCACCACTCTAAAACACTTTGTGAACAAAGAAAAAACACAGAAGCTGAAGAAAAGTGTTGTGGCATTAAAGAACAGGTAAGAAATCCAGTAGGATAACATTATCCCATGCTTTCCCCTGTCCTTGGGGGTGGGGGTGGCAAGGGAAGGCAACTTATTTAACTTCTATATTTTTGAAGTTTGCTAAAAACACAGGAACAGCATGGGCAAACATATTTTGGCAGCTCTTTCCATGCTGCCTGCTGGTTATCCTCCTTCTATTATTATCCAATGTGTTTGCGGAAGGCTTTTCCCCTACACAATTTTGCAAAGACCTGAAAGCTGACAGGTCTGAACAAAAGAATGCCATATATCTAAATGATACAGTTAGCAAGGACAAACATTCAAGGTGCTGTCATTAAGATGTTATTCAATCTATTATTGCCAAGCTTAGCCCGTGCAGGTTTGTAATATCCATTGCTCAGTTGCTTTTTGCTGATTTTGTTCTTGGTCAGTGTTGACAAAAAAAAAAGTTAAACATACAGCCTGCTGCCAAACTGGATTGTCTGCCTGAAAATCATTGACCAAAGCATCCCCATCTTGTACCTCAGCACCATCATTTATCTCATCATTTCCTTCATCATTTCCCACATCAGGATCCCGAAACACAAACATAGCCTGATTCCTAACAGGCCTTCCCAGGCTCCCCTTCCTGTCATTTTAGACATTTAAGCTCTACTCTAGAGGAGAGGCACTCAGATGCACACAGGTGTGCACTTTAAGAAGGCTTCTTACCTGTTTCTACTCTAGAGGAGAAGTGCTTGGCTACAGGCAAGCACACATACTTTCTGGGCCTGCACACCACACATGCAGACATTCTCTTTCAAAGGCAAAGAGGCCAGTTCTTATTCTTACTCTAGAGGAGGTGTTTGGGTGCAGGCAGGTATGCATGCTCTCTGGGCTTGCATGTCACACACACTTTCCAAGGCAAGGAGGCAAGTTTACTGCAGAGGAATTGCTCGGTTGCAGGTAGGCACACATGCTTACTCGGCCTGCATGCCACTTGCACTTTCCAAGGCAGGGAGACAAATTTACTCCAGAGGAGGCACTTGGTTGCAGGCAGGTGTGCATGCTTTCTGGCCTACACGCCACACACACACTCCTTCCAAGGCAAGGAGGCTGCTCATGTAAAGCAGACAAGGAGCTGGGATTAGCTTCTGCTTGCTTTCATTTTGAGCTGATTTTTGTAATTGGAAGGCCCTTCCCGTTATATGCTACCGAAGATAATGAAAGTAATTAAAATGGATTAAACAAAGGAAAATGGTTCTGTACACAGCGCTAGTCTTTAGATTGTAAGAGAGAGAGATAAATTAATCTTAGAGCAAACAGAATCTGAACTCTCTGAAAAAGCCAAGATGACTAAGCTGAGGCTTTCATACTTTGGACATAGCATAAAGAGACATTACTCAGGAAATATGAGAATGCTTTGCAAAATGGAAGTCAGGAGGGATAGGAAAAGGTAAAGGTAGTCCCCTGACATTAAGTCCAGTCATGTCTGACTCTGGGGTGTGGTGCTCATCTCCATTTCTAAGCCAAAGAGTCAGCGTTGTCCGTAGACACCTCCAAGGTCATGTGGCCGGCATGACTGCATGGAACGCTGTTACCTTCCCGCCGGAGCGGTACCTATTGATCTACTCACATTTGCATGTTTTCGAACTGCTAGGTTGGCAGAAGCTAGGGCTGGCAGTGGAAGCTCACGCTGCTCCCCGGAATTGAACCTGTGACCTTTCGATCAACAAGCTCAGCAGCTCAATGCTTTAACCCACTGCACCACCGGGGGCTCCAGAAGGGATAGACGGAAGCATTTTATCACTAGACTGATTCTTCCAAGAAACCACAACTGCCCTGAATGTGCAAAATGTGAGCTGGGAAGATTGTGACTGGGCCCTTAGTAATTTCTCATTGCCATATGTAAATGTCAACTCTATAGCAAATAAGAACATTCATTTTGTGACAGGGAAATCCAGAGCTGAGACTATTTTTTTTCTTTCTATTCCTCCTCTAGAGCAAATACTTTAAGGACAGCCAAACCAAAACAAAAATGAAAGAAACATCTCCCAAATTTTACAACAGTGTCTAGCAGTGGTGGTTGAATAGTTGGTGTATTCAGTGCGCTACTATTAATTTTCTCCTCATTCTTCAAACTTTGCAACCAATTGGGTTGGAGAAGACTCAAGTTGACCTGATTTTTTTCCTCCTCAGTTTTGTCCTTCTCGTGTCCCAGTTTCTTCCTTTTTCTCTTTTAATTCTCCCACAAATTCAGCCTCAATTTTCCTGTTCTTTTATACATAAAGCTTAGAAGCAGCTCATCAGAATCTTTTTCTTTCCTATTCAGATTGGACACAAATTGCCTTTATTTTTTTCAAAGATTCCTTCTCTGTTATTACTCTGACCCATCTCTTTGATGCTCTGCTCTTTCTCCAGACTTTTAAAAGCATTTCCATGCTTCCCTGTTCCTGGTTTGAAGTGGGACATCTCCACAATGATCGGGTGCTTATCAACTATCAGTGTGATGAGCCAAATGTTGCTTCCATATAAAGAGTGTTGAAAAGTTAGGAGCACAAAAAGGTGATGCTCTGAATATCATCAGTAAAGATGTATAATGCATTATTGTGCCATTCATGGAGATGTGGGATCTTTCAAAGGCATTCACCAAACAAAAGCAGATCTGTGCATATTGGAATTTCACCATGTATAGGGTTACATGCATTTGTATGGCCCTAATGTTCTCACTCCTTTTGAGCTCGATTCACTTTTCTTTCAGTTTATTTCCAACACCTCTGTGGAAATTAACCCTGCAGGGACAGCCATGCTAGTAAGACACAGGCTGAGGCATGCAGAGAGAAGGCATGCTTTAGCTTCTGTTTATCTCAAGGAATCTGGAGCAACCAGATCTATTGTTTCCATTCTCCTAACAACTGTAGAGAAGATACTACAGCAATCAAAGTAGATCCATTAAATCAAGCAAAGTTCAATTTGTAGTCCACATAGAACCTTGGGATCCCTCTTTTCTGACCCCAAACCCTTAAGAAAAGTCTGTTAGTGCCCTTCCTATGTTTTTAGCAAATTCTAAGAATACATCTGTTAAATAGGGTAGCTCCACATTGCATATACACAGGTGCACATTACACAGTTGTGCATAGATGTGCATTCCCATTGCACATGAAGATAGGGCTGGGCAACCACAGAAAAATTTGTTTCTAAACTCGATTCATTTTTAGGGGGTTTTTGCATTTCATTTTTTAAAAGAATTCTGAAATTTTTCTTTAAAAAAGTTCGAAATATACGATTAAATTACGAAACAATTACGAAACAATTACGAATCGATTCGTTAATGGCGGGCGCGATTGCGCAATATGCTAAAAAACCCTCCAAATGGGACAGGGGGAACTTCTGAAGCTTCCCTCTCCCTCTGTTGTTGACTGTTGGTGTGATAATTTATTTTTTATCACTGATAAAACAAACAACAACTATAAAACTTGCACCAGACATACGGAAATAATTACGAAACAATTACGAAACAATTTCGAAACAATTTCGAACCAATTACGAAACAATTACGAAATGAATTGAAAAATTCGTTTTGATTTTTAGTTGCTCCTGAATGGTTCAATATCGGATCGTAAGCTAATTTAAATACGAATCAATAACGAATTACGAAATTAACGAACGAAACCGCCCAGCCCTAGAAGATACACATATTTGGCTGTGTTATACAA